ATCTATGATCACTCTGACCATGAACTCATCATCTATCTCCACAATCTTAAAAGGTACTATTGTGTAGTCCTCGGGCATAACTCATTCGCCAAAAACAAGATAAAACACACAATAAACATTAAAGAGAAAATTGATTATCAAACTTTCTACAGATATCATAATATAATTTTGGTGAATTGTTTTAAGTCCGACGTAATTGTTCAAGTGAAAATCTGATATTGGGACAGCCCTATATCCACTGTGGTGTTCATGCAGGGTTTCCCGCAGCGCTTTATAGTTAAGACGACCGCCTTGACAACAACGGCCCCCCGCCTTGACTACGTCATAGACAGTAGGTCAAAATAAGGCGGCATCTGTAGGTTAAATATGTTAAGCCATCTATCATCAGCTGTAAAGAAAGAAGCTAAATCCGACAACCGGATAGCATGCCTGTTGTTGTCGTGGGAACTACAGTGCCACGCCCCTCGCCCCGATCAAACAGGCGCCGACTCGCCGTGGCTCCGTTGGCGAGGCTCCGGTGCCTGTTGGATCGGGGGGAGGGGTCGCTGTGGGAACTACAGTGCCACACTGTAGTTCCCACAGCGACGTAGTTCTCTTCTCCTCTCTACTCTAAGTCTGATGCAGATAAAATTGTATAAACCACAATTTAAAAAATAATCTAATCTAATCTTTTTTTCAGATATTCAGTATAATAACAAACCACAATTCTAAGTGATTCATTAATCAACCAATGTGACGACAATAAGCGAGCGTAATGTGATATTCTGGTCAACAAAAATTAAACCAGTCAGTGCTTATTGGTTGGGAACCACATTAGAAAAATGTAGAATACTTTGAAAAATGACCAATGTGTAAAGCGTATGTGGGAAATGGGCTACAGCATGCAAAAAAACCTAAATGGACTTGTTTGTGTATAAACATTCCATCAAGTATTTGTGTCTTTCGTCAGATACTTCAGATTGAATACATTTCACTCACCCTATACTGGTCCAACTGACTTTTCTTGGCCAAAATGTCAGGGTGAAGTCCATCCGCTATCACCAGTTGGTCTTGAAGATAGGCCATCTTAGTGTGGATCAACTTGTAGGCATCACCAAAATCCTTGGTTCTTGAGATCAAGGCCTTAGAGCAAGAAAAGATGATAGTAATTACATCAGTAATTTCTGGACTGTATGTTGAAGTCAGAGTATGTCCTTGTTTTCACATTCTTTATAGTAAAATGAGTCTGCACAAGGAGCTTGAGCCAATTCTAAACTATAGCACATTATCACATCCTTTGAACTCTTTTTCAAATTATATTTGTTAAGGCAACTGAATGTAATGCAAAAGAAACCCAAAGCTAAAATGTTGAGCATGTTTACAAGGAGAAGATACTTTAACATTTGGTGCAAATATCAGTGACAGTTTTCTGTTTTTTCCTCATTTTCTATGGGAAATGAGGAAAACAAGATGAAACAGGATGGAAATCTGAAAAACTATCCAAACTCCAAGACTAAATTATAGTCACCACAAGCTCTATAGAATCAGAATCAGGGTTTCTTGTTAAATAGGTTTACACACACAAGGAAGTTGCTGTGGTGTGATTTGTGTGAGCATAAATATAAAAAATACAACAAAAAAAAATATAAAAACCTTATAAACTGAAGAAAAGGAATATGCAATTTGGACAATGAGACAAGATATTTAGTATTTGAAGTATGTACAAATAGTCCGTTATTGGCCATGGGTTGTTTAAGTGTCAGCATGAGAGAGAGGAAGAGAGCAACCAAGTCGTGGTATGGAGGTGGGTTGAATAAAAGAATAAATGCGTGCAGCTATGAGGAAGGTTTTACTCACTGAAGAAAATCATTATGCAGTCATCAGTTTTTTAATTGTCAATCAATCAATCAATCACATTTATTTATATAGCACGGTATCACAACAAACAATTGTCTCAGGGTGCTGCACAAAAGTCCAAGATCTTAAAAAAGACAAAATCCAACTTGCAACACAGAGCAAGCATGAGCAACAGCAGGGAGGAAAAACTCCCAGGTGGGAGAAACCTCCGGCAGAACTGGGCTCAGTGTGAACAGCCTCTGCCAGGACCAATTGGGGTGAGTGGAGAAAAAAAAATAGGGGAACAAAAGGAAATAAGGGGGGGGTGGAGTCACAGTCTCAGGTCATGGGCTTAATCCAGCCCGGGAATCTCCATGTGTACGTTGGCATGGTCTTCCAAGGGTGAGTTGGTCCCCCCAGGCACTCCTGCCTCCCTCATGGTCCAACATGCACAGCAGGTGGACCCATGGCTCCAAAGGGTTGTAGCGGGTTGTAGGGGGGACCATGCAGAGTCTGTGTGTTTGCATGTAAATGGTCTAAATGGTATAGCACTTTTGTAGATAATCACTCTTATGGGACAGTTTTACATTCACCTATTCACACACACATTCATACAGTGCATATGTGCAGCACTTTTCTCTATGAGAGGGGGCAATTTGGGGTTCAGTATCTTGCCCAAGGACAGTTTGGCATTTTGAAGACTGGGATCAAACCACTGACCTTCTGGTTAGAGGATGACTGCTCTAGCCTCTGAGCCATGGCTGCCCCATGTCAATATGAGAGTGAGAGAGAGTGTGAGAGAGAGAGAGAGAGAGAGAGAGAGAGAGAAAGAGAGAAGACATCAAGCAGAGTCGGGATGGACTGAATTAATGAATGGATATATATATAATAAAATATAAAATAAGCACCAATTTGTGGGTATCTTTACACAGTTGAGGCGTAGATACGTTGACAGGCTCTACAGCGGCTCTAGTCCGTGGAAAACCCAACTGGTTCTTAAACGTTGAACCAAAGCTGCACTAAGATCTAACAAGACTAGGACAGAAACGAACCTATTACCTGCAAAATGAAATTCCATTTCATAGATTGTAAACCATTATACACCCTGTGAATTTGCCTAATTCATTCTGGTTACTGCGGGTCAATAAGCCAAAGTGCAGGATGCACAGCTCCAGATAGGTGAGTGGAGGGGTGACTTCTCAGAAATCTCAGCCATGAACTCCCCAAATAACCAGTTTATTAAATGTTCAACCACAGAGGAGAACATTTTGGATGACTGATACACAAAAGTCAGTGTGTTTATAATGCTGTCCCCCACGCTGCATTTGGACACGTCACGGTCCACCTGATACTCACAGACAGAACCAGTGGACCAGGGAGGCTGTGGAGTACCTTCAAGCATGTTTAGACTGTATTGACTGAGAAGTTCAAGTTTGCAACCTGGATAAGTGAACAGATCCTGTTTTTTTTTAGGGGTGCTTGATTATGACAAAAATCATAATCAGGATTATTTTGGTCAATATTGTAATCGCGATAATTTAACATGATTACTCATTGACTTTGAAAACATCACGTATTTACTGAAGATAGATCATTTTGGTGCCCATGTCAACTGATTCAAGTGTCTACACTGCCTGAGTGAGCAGTGCGGTTCAGCCGTTGCTCAGCAGAATAGACATAGAAAATTATCTCACATCATCCAACTTTTATTTGAGGAAATACAGTCCATTTACCAGAAACCTCACTACAGCCCCACTGCAGATATGAGGGAGAAATGCTGCGACACACAGCAGGACCACGGCGAAGCTCACGTAGGCAATGACGCCTGGCTCATAAGGCCAGACAAAACATGAGCCTCACTGCAAACTGAAACGCGGGATAATGATGATTATTATGTTGATTTCTTTGTTTTCATAATCGTTGGAAGCCATGATCGTAATTGAAATAGCAGCAAGAAGCCAATACCTGCACCTCATGCATTGACATTGAAGTAATGCAGAGCCTGGTCCTCTTCTAGATGCCTCTGATAAAGCCACTGATAGCTGTCCAAAGTATCACTCTGTTACAGAGACTTATATTAACCCATTGTCCTGTGCTCTTGATGATTCAACTGTAAAGCACGCATTTCTATTACCTTACTATTACTGTCCAGTCAATGTGATGGACTCTTGTGCAGGTGCAAGTCTTGACATCGGATTTGGATGGTCTAAAAGTTTCTAAAATGTCTGTATCCACTAAATTTGTTCAATACATTCCAGATGCTTTGCTGTATACTTAGGATTGGTCACTGCTGCCATCTTGTGTTGATTCAGTGACATAGCACCTCACCTTATTCTCATTGAAAATCTGTACAAAAGCAGCACATCACATGCTATCTGACTCATTACACTGTACAGCAGCTATTTCAGAAGGACCAGATGAAAGGTTTGAGGAAGTATAAAACAGGAAACCAGTTGAAGTATAGAAGTTGATTATGCAATGTATTTTCTGTAAAAAGATACATCTGCTGTATGTCTGTCTCATTCACAAGTTGACTTCAAGGAGTGTCACTGGAAAAGTCTGTTTATTAGGAGTGGCATGATTTGGGACCAATGGCTCAGAAGACAACAGGCCCTGAATGACTTCAGTCCCATAATATGGGATCCAAGGAAGTTGTACAGCAAGAGGGGCGATTTATATAAAACAAAACTTACTCTACTGCCTTAGTTGAGCAGCCATGGCTCAGGGGGTGGAGCAGGTCATCCTAAAACCAGAAGGTCAATGTTTTCATCCCAGTATTCCCCCATTCCAGTTTGGTTAACATCGAAGGCTTCAGCTATAATTCAGGTGTCCACAGGGCTATACTTAAAGTCCTGGAGTTTGTGAGGGAAAATCCAAAATCTCCAAACCGATTCAGCATATTCAGTCAGCGCCAAAACCAACCACTAAGTATTGATGAGCTTCCTAGGAATGACATCATACACAGTGGATTCCAAATTATTCGGAGTTATTCATTGTAAAAAATCTCAGTGCGCACGGCAAACTGACCAGGACTGATGAAGCTGACAAAGCCTTTGCTGACCTAAAGACTTCCTTACAGTCTGCCCACATTGGGACTGCCAAAGCTTGATATACCCTTTGTTCAGTTTGTGGAACAGCAACATAACATCTGTTTTGACACAAAAATATGGAGGTAAATTGTGTCCAGTTTCTCCTTTCTCTCAGAAACTAGATTCTGTTGCAACTGTTGCATCAGATCAAGATTTGTAAGCCAAGCCCTGAGAGAAGTATCAGACTATCTTGGGTTTGACATGTCATCACTGCTCTCATTACCCCACAGAGTGCAGGTGCTGCTGAAATAGAATGTCAAAACTTGCAAAATTTTGTAATGAAACCAGTCCAACTTGGGTTAAACCACTCTCAATGGTATATTTGCACATGCGCAAATGAGTGAGAAATAAATATGGGCTCAGTCCATTTGAAATCTTATTTGGTAGACCCCATCAGACAGGTGTAGGGTCAGTTAGACACCCACCTCCAACCACAACAGCATGTGAAGATTACATTATATATAATTTAAATGAAGCTTTTATCCAAAGCGGCTTACAATAAGGGCATTCTACCGTGAGGGTAACCTCTCTGCTATTTTGTTAGCATTTCATTCACAGGCGATAAGTGCCCTGCCATCTGCAGCTACAGCAGACCTCCATAACCTGAAACCTGGTAACTGGGTTCTCATTAAGGATCACAGACATCACTGGAAACAGAGACAGTACAAAGGTCAATTCCAGGTGCTACTGGCCACTAAGACAGCTGTTAACACAAGGGTCCCCACTAGCAATTGTAAACTCATCCAGGAGCCCTGCACCTGCACACCACACAGACTAGGAGACAGTTCAAAGAGTTAAACAAAACAAAGTCACCACAACGTGCTGAAGTTTAATCTGGAGTGTAAGCGGATTACTGGTCCATGGTGAACAACTGAGCAAGGTGTGAAATAGCACAGTACTCTAAAAGTAGCGTGCTAAGCTCCAACAAGTGACGTGCAAACAGAGTGTTTGTAACACCCAGACAGAAACCAGACAGATAACTTTACCTTACTGTTAAAATCTGAAAGATGCATTGTTTCTATGTGTTTGCGCAAGTATGTAGCCTTATGTGAGTGCATGGGAGAGAGGGAAAAGATAGGGTTTACAGTTTGTGGGTCTGGTCAGGTTCAGATGGTTTATGCTCTGCATTGGCCAATCGGCTTGTTGCTCCCTCACTGCGAGGGATATCTAGCCACGCAACAAAATCACAACTGTCTGCTGTCCTGGCTCCCAAATAGTGGAACAAGCTCCCCATTGACATCAGGACAGCATCTTCTAAGAAGATGATGGTCTAAAAATAAAAACAAACCCTCATGGTTGAATGCACTTATTGGAAATTGCTTTGAAAAAAGTGTCAGCTAAATGATATGTTTATATTTAAAAGTAATATACACTTAAACCAAATAAAGACAATAACATCGTGGTACCTGTAATCTGCTCTTCCTCTGCAGCAGCTGAGTGTGCAGCAGCTCTCTGTTTTTGATGGCAGCACCCAGCTCACCCTGCAAAGCATCAGACCTCTCATGACCAAACACAGAGTCCAGCAGGTCTCCCTTCACATGCAGCAGGCTGAAATGCTCCTGCAACTGGACACCATCCTTCAACAGGCTCTAACAAAAGGGACACAATTTTCACAATAAATTTCACTATACAACAAACTAAACACTAGAATTAAAGGTTCAGTGTATAGATTTTGTGATATCTAGTGTTAAAATTGCATCTTACAGCTGAACACCTCTCACCTCACCCTCCCCTTCCAAACATGAAAAAGAACCTGTGGTAGCTTCAAGTGTTTAGTTTGTCCAGTCTGGACAATGTAAAAAACATGGTGGCCTCCGTAGAGAGTACCCCCTCCATGTAAATATAAAGTATTTAAATATAAAGGGCCTTTTCTAGGGCAAAGAAAATTATAATTCATACAATTTAGATGAAATGAACTAGTGAAAACATCACAAGGATTAAATTGCTGCCAATAGTTCCCTTTCACCTAAATCTTACACACTGAACCTTTAAGTGCTCAAACAAATATTATACATTTGCTAATGCGAATGCTCGATCAAATCCTCATACATAATGACCGCACTATAGTACTGCCACACTGAAACAACTAAAATAAGCTTTGTTTACCACATAATTAGTTTTTAAGATTAAGATTCTTTATTATCCCACAATCATGCACACACAGCACTACATGCAAATGGGGAAATTTGACCGCTGCTTTTACCCCATCACGGAACACAATACACACAGTGACCACACGGAGAAGTGGGCAGCTATTGAAAGCGCCCGGGGAGTGTACAGGCAGCATGCTGATTGTAGAAATGTCAACCAGAGCGGTGACTGCAGAATTCAATGTCTCTCATTCAACTACCAGCAGTTTACATTTTTTTAAGCATTTGGATTAAATATGAATCATCTACGTGTCTGCTGACAATGTGTCACGACACTAGCACAAGAACCATTAGTTTCAAAAGTGGACCACTGATGTTGTGTTCACAGTAGATTGAGACAGGAAAATATTACTTTGTACAGTATCTGTGAAAGTGACGCTTCTTGATGTTGGAGACATAGCTCAATTTGAAAAGGACTTTTTCTGCATGAATGAGGCAGACAATTAAAAGTTTCTGAAGGGTGTGTGTGTGTGTGTGTGTGTGTGTGTGTGTGTGTGTGTGTGTGTTTTACCTCTATGTTCTGGACTATCATGGCAATATGGGAGAAGTCAGTAACCTCAGCAGATGCCTCCAACACCTGAGAGACCATGTGGCTCCATTGGGTGTAGACCAACAGCGGGTCCTGGAGAATGTTTCTCAGCCCTGACTGCAACTCTGAACACAGCCTGGTTGCTCTAGATTTCACACTGCAACAAAAGCACATAACAGAGGTATATTCAACATCTTGTCTTATATTCTCAGTGATTACAATCAAGATTCTTGTGAAAGGAATTTTATAGCAGTACGTGTTTATTTGTTATATATACTATGTACAGTATACAACCAAACTAAGAAAACTAACAACCCTGGTCAGTATATTTAAAATTTTAATTTATAAATCCTGTCTCTTCAATTCCATTTAAACCCTCTGGAGCCATTTCTTTCTATTTTTGGTTTGCCTAGTCTCCTTGTGAATTAATGCTTGTATTATGACCTCAACCCTGTAAGGCACAATCAAGTTATATGCTTCTTTTTTTTCAGGACAGCCAGGGCTGTTAGAATATGTATACTGCAGGGATGTCCCAAGAATATATAAATAGCTATATGACCATAAAGGCAGAAGAAAAAAAATAGAAATTGAATCTCACAGAAATTAATTTTCTCTGTGATCAGGAGAAAAAAGATGAACATTCTAACCAACACACATAAAAAATGATTCACATTTTTACCAAGAGGTGACCATCTGTTTATATTTACAACAAACAGTTGTGCAAAGCTGTTCCTATATTCAATGAGACAGAGGGCCACATCACACCACTCATACAACTAATCTTTAGATACCAGAGGCCTGTACTATGAAGCAGGATTTGCAGTTATTGGGGTAACTTCAGGTGTACTTCAAGGTTAAGATCAGGTTAAATTGGAGATCAACTTTAAGCTATCATGTGATTTTTATGTGTTCTCTCTCCCCCTCCCCCTTCTGTTTTTTCTCCTGCAGGGCATGTGTGTGGCATGTGGAAGCCTTCAAAACTGTTTAGTTTCTCCAGTCTGGACTACTGTAAAAAACATGGCTGCCTCCATAGAGGCGACCCGCTACTGATGTAAATATAAAGTACATGATTATAAAGGGCTCATTCTAGAGTAAAGAAAACAATTATTGGTACAATTTAGATGAAACACACAAGTGAAAACATCACTAGGATCATTTTTAATAATATTTCTGCCAATAGATCCCTTTCACCTAAATCTTACACACTGAACCCTTAACAGATTGTATAAAAGCACCACCCACTGACCAATCAATTCCTTTGAAACATGACATCAGCGTTCTTAGAGGATCCCATGGAGCAGGGTGTGGATTCTTAGAGGGTCTCAGAGGAGGACAAGGGACTTTAAAGACTGACAAAATCCTTTTATGGTGAAACCTTACACCCCAGCCCGTCCACTCCACTCTGTATCTGTCAATCGGCTTGCTGCTACCTCATTGTGAGTTGACCACTCAACAAAATCATGACTGTTTGCTGTCCTGGCTCCTGAATGGTGGAATGAGCTCCCCATGGACACCAGGACAGCAGAAAGTCTACATATCTGCCGCTGCAGACTAAATAAAACCAATTTAAAAAAAAACTGTTGCACTTATATGGCACTTTGTAGTTAGGCCTTTTGAAGCAAAATGTACTTACTTGATTATTGTTGTTCTGGGTTTGTTCCCTCGTGGTTGATGCACTTATTGTAAGTTGCTTTGGATAGAAGCCTCAGCTAAATGAAATGTGATGTAATGTAACACATTCAGCAGATCTTGATGAGACAAACCTGGGTTCACTTAACAAGTTGATAACCAGCTTCGTATGACCACTTAGCCTGATTGCGATTGTTAGGTCAAGTTTACCTGGATATCAAAAAGATATCTTGAGTATGTTGAACTCTTTGTAGAACCGGCCCCAGGATGAGTTCAATGATGGGTTCATGTTATTCAATTGCACAGTGTGTTTGCTATTAGAGCTACCACAGACATGCCTAGTCATGAACACAGCCTCTAATTGGTCAACTAGTCAGGAATAAAGCCACTGATTGGTTGACAGACTCAACCCAAGGCATTGTGGGATTGCTGGTTGACAACCAACAACAACAATTACTGTTTTCAACACAGATACATTTATCACAGAAATCATCCAATGTTGGATTTGTCATTATGAATTTGTGTCTCCAAATAGACAGTAAAATTCAAAGCTGGATTAAAAACATTCACTACCAATCCCTTATTGGAATAGCATAATGCTACCCCAATTGAAATTTAAAAACACGATTGTTTAACTAGTTAAAGGGATAGTTCATAGAATAATGAAAAATAACTCATTATCGACTTGCCACTATGCCGGTGGAGGGGAGGTTGCAGCCAAATCCAATACAATTGAAGTAAACAGGACCCCTTCTTCAGACATAAAAAACAACAGAAATAAAACATAACATGCCTCCATATTGCTTGTGTAGTGTCATCCAAGTATCCATATACCCGACATTCATATTCGATTTGAAAAGAGGTCATTTGCACCATGTTTTTAGCCTAAATGTTCTATGATAGCCTCCTCTGAGGCGTGCTCACATTCTCAGGAACAGGAATTGTCAAACCCAAAACTTGTTTCTTAGATCCCATTCCTAAAAGAAATTCTGCCCATAATAATTAGGGCTTTACTGAATACAATCAATCTATCGTTATCATCAAAATATGTACCACAATCTTTTAAGCTAGCTGTAATCAGACACCTTCTCTAAAAACCCCAGTCTGGACCCAGAGGTATTAGCCAACTCCAGACCGACATCCAACCTCCAAAGTTGTAACCAATCAACAGTGTGAATTTCTCCAGGAAAGTTATCTATATGAAGATTTTCAGTCAGGGTTTGGACCTCATCACAGTATGGAGAGACCCTTGGAAACTCTATCATAACAACAGAGAACCTTGCCTTTGGTAAGTGTCACGATTTGTATGGCTCTTTTTTCCAGCAAAAAGTCTTCTCATTCTTGTTATGGCATTTTAGAACCCTCTTCCTTATCAAAATAGTTTTAATTTTAGAGCTTGAGCCTCTTGACGTGTGTTTAGGACCATAAGGACCAGCACTTCTGTTCTTGAAGCCATTTTAATCTTTAATTTTGTGAGGCCGTTGTGGCTCAGGCAGTATAGCAGAAGTGTCCCTTGGGCCGTCCAGCCGGCAGTGTATAAGTGATGTATTATAGAGATAGTGCTGCACATAGATGCACTGTGCGAATGTGTGTTTGACCTGTCTGAGCTGTACTGTTAAGTAGGGCTGCGATGATTTGTCGACGTTGTCGACAAAAATCGATAATAGAAATAGTCGACAATGAATTCCATTGTTGACTATTGTCGCCAGACGTGTTTTTCCAACAGAGTGAGGACTCTCATTTAATTACAATCTCTGCCGAGAGTCGCACATGGCGTCACGTACACAGAAATGGTGGCGTCCAACACAGTAGCTACGCGTACCAAAACGTCTAAAGTTTGGGAGCATTTTAGCCTGGTTACGGAGAATAAAAAGATAACTTGCAAGGTTTGTAAGGCAGACCTTGCGTATCACGGCAGCACCTCGGTGATAGACGAGCATTTAAAGAGAAAGCACGTCGGGCAGTTGAACGAAACGGAGTCTGACTCGCCTCGGTAAGATTCAAGTAACATTCAAGCCAATACATGTTTTCTTTTTGATGTACATTGTACATTTTATAAACTTTTTTTTCGCTTTAAAAGAGAGCTTTAACGTTACGCCTGACAAACGTATTTTAAATTAAATGCATGCAGTCCGAAGAAGAGAGCCACCATGGACCCCTTTCTGCAAAAGAGGCAGATGTGCACCCCGCAACGGGTGACTGCCCTCACTGAGTCAGTATTGCAGATGCTGATCTATGATATGAGGCCGCTCTCCGTGGTCGATGGTGCCGGGTTTCAACAGATGATAGCCCAGTTCAACCCAGACTACATCCTGCCATCCAGAACCCATTTCACCCACTTGATGCAGCAGAAATACAGTACAACGTTTCTGAAGGTAATTGTTTAAAATACACACACACACACACACACATTTCATAATTCATATAAACAATCACACATATTTCATACAAGCAATCACAAATTTCATTTAAAAGCAATTATATATTTCATTCATATATTATATTTACATATATATATTAAAATAGCTGAAATACATAACTTAATTTTGGTAAAATCATAGAGTAGCTGCAATTATTAAAACAGTAAAACTCGTATGTTGAATAGTTTCTGTTGACATGTAGGTTTTTGCACTTTAAATATTTACAAAAATCAACTTTTGTGTTTAAAGGTAAAGGAGATCCTAAAAGAGGTCAACAGCTCCCTCACACTGACGTCTGATGTTTGGACCAGCCGTGCCAAAGAGGCATATCTTGGAGTTTCGTGTCACTTCATCACCAAAGACTAGCAAATTAAGACTTTGAACCTCGCCACTCTACCTCTGGAGGAGAGGCATACTGCTGCGAACATCATGATATGGATGGAAGAGGTGATAGAGAGATTTGACATCTTGCCTAGCAAAATTAAAGCAATAGTACACGACAACAGGTCTAACATGGTGGCGGCAGCCCAACTCCTGGAAGAAAAACACGGTTGGTCTTCAGTCCGCTGTGCTGGGCACACCCACCAATTTATCGTCAACAGTGCCCTCAAAGAGCCCAGCATCAACAAAGCTACTGGTGCTGCAAGAAGCTTAGTGGAGCACTTTAGGAGAAGTGAGCTGGCAAATTCAAAACTGAAGAAGAAGCAGCAGCAAATTAACACCGCAGAGCACAAGCTGATCCAAGACGTCAGTACACGATGGAATAGTACTTATTACATGGTGGAGAGACTCCTGGAGCAGCGCTGGCCAGTCACTGCAACTCTCTCTGACCCTGAGGTAACACCAAGAGGCAAGCACTACTTTGACCTGAAYCCAGAGCAGTGGGTGCTACTTGAAGAGCTGGTGCAAGGGTTGGGGCCTTTTGAATGTGCTACCGTTTTCCTCAGTGGACAGGAGTATGCTACTGCTTCATGTCTTCCACAGCTGGTCAAAGGGCTGCAATGGTCCATACAGCAAACCCAGTTTGAGACGAGCTCAGGAAAAGCCTTTCTAGCCATTGCAGGAAAAGGAATAAGTGAGAGATGGGAGAATCTTAACACTGTGTCTGCAGAGAGAGACAACCCACTTGTTCTTGCAGCTGCCATTGATCCAAGATTCAGAAAGATGAAGTTTATCTCACCTGAAGATGGCACAAGGGTGCAAAGTACAGTTGAGGTTCTTGCCATAAAAGAAGCAAAGGCCGAGACTGGGATATATGATGACCCTGAGCTAGAGCAGAAGAGGAGGGGTAATGTCCCAGGGGCAAAGTCAGCGCTGGATAACCTTCTTCAGTCTGACACTGACAGTCTGAGTGACGAAGAGGAGGAAACCCAGGAGGACAAAAAAATCCAAATGGTYAGGAGGGKAGTTCAGAMGTTCTTCACAGAGGCACCAATAGCCAAAAAGGATGACCCTCTCAGCTGGTGGAGAGAAAATGAGGGGCGTTTTCCCACACTGTCAAACCTAGCAAGATCTCTTCTGTGCATTCCTGCAACATCCACCCCGGCAGAGCGAATCTTCTCAGCAGCAGGAAATATCTGCTCCCAGAAGAGAGCAAGCCTCACACGAGAGCATGTGGATATGCTGACTTTTCTTAGTATGAATAAACTGAATGACATAGCCTGAGCCTCATTTTAAACCTGGTCTGTCCACCATGACAGGTTTGTGTCCAGGTTGTATCACACAGTCCATGTTTACAACTTGTATTTGGACAACCCTGAATGCTTTATTTTCAGCTGTGTATCTACAAACGTCAGTTGTTAAAACCGTTAGATTTCAAACTGTTGAGAATTGTAAAGTTCTTTTGCAACAGACTGTGCAGTTGACCACTGAATGTACTTCACAAAACGCACTTAATATTTGTTTTATTTACTGTTTTACTGCTGCTAATGGGCCTGTCCTTGGTTTACAGGAAAAAATGTTTACTTAATTTTAATTAATTATTTATTTTTTATAAAACACATTTGCCTGTCCTTAAAAAATGGACAGAGGTTTATTTATTTATGGATTTATGTCTATACTGACCAAGCACTGTGCCTAATTGGTTTTAGAAAGGACATTTTTATTTACTTTTTGTATGAATCAGCAGCAAAGTTGAATAAAAGATGCATTTTTCATTGAAGTACCCATCTTTCTTGTGTTAATTATCATTTGCCACATAATTAAAGCAACTTCATGCTATATTTAAGAAAAAAATAATAATTATCCGATTAGTCGACGAATGGTTTCAATAGTCGGTGACTAGTCGACTATTAAAATAGTCGTTAGTTGCAGCCCTACTGTTAAGCGCTTTGAGTAGTCAGTAATACTAGAACAGTGCTATATAAAGCCAGTTGTTCCCCAACCGTGTTCTAAAGTTAAACAATCAATGTAAATGTTAAATGGATTGTCTTATCAACCACTCAAAAAGCCTTACAGTAGAAGTCACATTCACCCACCCACGCGTATCTATATGCAGCATTGTTTCTGACCCACAACATTCATACACTGTAGGTACAACCATTGAGGGCTATTTGGAACTCAGAAACTTGCCCAAGGACACTTCCAAATGCAGACTGGAGGTGCTGGAAATTGAATCACTAACCTTTTGGTTAGTGGAAGATGACCCTCTCTGGTTAGTAGGTGACTCTCTACCTGAGCCACAACTGCCCCAACATCATTTAGGAAGGGATTATTCTCAGTAAATGGAAATTGAGGTAAATCCAAACATTTGCTTATGCAGATATATTTAAAAAGACTTTGCAGTTATTATATGGCCTACATGATATATCTTTCAGAGTTTTAAGATACTGGTAGGCTTTCTGTCACATACCTCTGATGCTCTTTGACAACAGCCAGGACATCATCAGAAAGTTGCCGTGAGTCCACTGAGAACTTAAAGAGCTCCTTGAGCTGGGATTTGAGAAGTTCCACCTGGGACTCTTCCCTTGCCAGAGTATTCTTCACACCCTGCAACATACAACATAAGTAAAGAAAATATAAGCCACAACAGCAGATGTTCACTCAAGGCCAACAGTCCGACAAGTCCACCAATTATACCACTTATAGTATCATATCATATATATACCGTGGAAGTCTGGTCCGTGGTTTCTGTCATATATATGTTTCAGTTTGTGATACGCGAGGGACTAGGGCTATATAACAATAGGCCCAATCCGCGGTTCGGACCTCATATTTTGGGCCACGGTTCAGTTCATACCTCGTTATTTTTTCTTTTTTTTAGGAGGGTTTAAGAAAAAGCAGGGGAAAAATCTGGCATTTGGAACAGAAAAGAGAAGAACACTAAAGAACATGTTGTTCTTGACTTAAATCTATAAATCTGCGGCAACTATAGAACACCCCCATGCCTATCCTTCCACTTGGTCCCTCCCAGAACGTTTATTTGTGGTTCGTTTCCCGGGGTACTGTTTTGGATGCGACATCCTGGAGCGGACAGAGACATTTCTAGGGTGGCTGTGGCTGAGGGGTAGAGCGGTCGTCCTCCAACCAGAAGGTTGGAAGTTCAATCCCCAGTCTTCCCATCTGCATGCCAAAGTGTCCTTGGGCAAGATACTGAACCCCAAACTGCCCAATAAAACAACAAAAAAGTGCTAGCTATAGAAGCACTGTATGTATGTGTGTGAATGGAAAACTGTAGTGTAAAGCACTTTGAGTGGTCATCAAGACTAGAAAAGCACTATATAAATACAACCATTTACCATTTAATATAGCTAATGAACAAAAATACTTATTATTTATTAAAGACCAGCTTACATTACCAAGTAATTTTTTTTTACCTTGAATTGGGCTTAAAAAGATGGATGATGTCATGGATGTTGCAACATGTTTGATGTTTGACCTTTGCAAGTCACTTTTCGCCGCCATGTTTTGCAATCTGGATATCCATGATGCCCTGGTCATCTTTTTCCATAATGCTCCAACACTGCAGCTTAAAAGGCCCAATATTTTACACAATTCTGGGATTTAATTTGAGGTATTGTAGCCCTAAGATGATATATCAGTGGTTGTAAGTTGAAAAAACTACTGCAATTTGTATTTCCATGACTCCATCCCTCTTCTGCTCCAGACAGAACAGGCTGTTTTCGCCTGCCTCATTATTATTAATGAGGCCCTCATCTGATTGGCTGACTGCACTTTGAGTGTTACACAACCAGGCCTATCACCGGTATCCTGCTGGAGCAGAAGAACTCGCTGTTAAATACTAGTTTTGGGAGGATGTTTTTGCCTGTTTTGGCAAGGCAGTCGGACAATGTACGGAGTAACGTCTGTACTGCTTCACAGTGCTGTCGTAGTGGGGGGAAAGTGGAACTGACTTCTCAGGGCCCCAAAGGGTAGGGAGGGCCTTAAAAAGCCTGAATGATAGTTAATAATAATAAATCATATTATTTTATATATTTTTTAACTAGCTTCTGTGATAAGAGAAATTGTGGCTGGTGTATAGCTAATATGATGTTAATTGAAATGCATATTTACAATAAATATATCCTTCACCTGGAAAATATTTGTACAGTGCTGTTTGTAATATATTTAGTATATATAATATATATAACTTGCACACTGTGGAGTTCTGATGATTTCATGTGAACATTACATTTTCACTGCTGAAAATCACCCCCCAAGCATAGGATCACACTGTGAAAGGCCTCCAAAAAAGAAGTCTGGTGGTGTGGGCTCAACTTCTCCACATCCTCCAGGACCCTCTACTGTAGAATGATTTTGAACCTGATTTTTCCATCAAAAAGAAAATAAATACAATTATTTCCTTCATATGTTCAATTAGCATTGACAAGTAGGTGGACATTATTAGCCTGTTACAGAGGACCGATGACAAATTACTGTGGAGATTTTCAAAATAACTCCAGTGTGCCTCGCTGTTCATAGTCACTGTGTCTTTGGCGTGCTCACCATTCGTGATCGTACACACACACAGTCAAATATGCATATTTACAGTGCAACATCAGCTGTGCAATTCAAATCAGAAGCAATGTGAAGGCTATGCAGTTACAACACAAATGTTCGCCTCATGGACTGTATTACACCTTCCACTCTCGCCTTCTTTGTTTAGCCAGTGTGCAGCTGTTTCAGCAGCGGTACATGTGACATAAACAACTTGGGGACGACGGTGGTTGTACCAACAGCAGCAAAGTAGATAGCAAACATAATGTTAGTGCTGGTTAATTAAAACCACTGTGAGGAACAACAATGTGACTGTACATAACGTTACATGTGTTGTTTCTATGGTTCACAACATGTTTAAAATTAAGCTGCTCTGTGCTTACTTAGCAATGCCTTAGCGTTAATAATAATAATAATATTTATAGGCGCCTTTCACAGTATTCAAGGTCTATATAGATAAAAACAGAACAAAAAACAATGCATAGAAAAAGATCAATAAAATGAACAGTATATAAAACATGTAGCATTACAGTGCTAACGCTAGCGCAACCACAACAAGAGTAAATAGTGTATCACCCACTTATGCTACCTTGTTTGTGAGGTAATAGGTTACTTCATTCATTTGTTTACTTAATGGTTGAGGATCTTGAGCAGGGGTAAGCAGTGCAGGGATTGCTGTATCCTTGAGGGTTAAGCTGCTGGTGAAACTGCAGTTGTACAGAGTTGAGGAAGCAGTCGTGGTGAAATGATCTGAGCAAACACCAACACATTCTTGCTGAAATGCTGTAGTATAGATTTCTTGGAACAGACTGACTGTTTTCATACTTTGACGAACCTCCTGACCCCCTTTAACTGTTTTCCTTTAAGGCGCATGGTCAGCTCTATTATGTAAATAGAGCTAAGTGAGGAGGACCACTACAAAGTCTGGTAAGACCTCCTCTCTCTCTACCTGCACATGGCCGACGATGTCCTGATGTTTAAGGGCTGACTCTGCATGCTGTGTAGCTACAGATGGGATTAACTTCTTTCCATTTGCCAGAGTAGGGCAGTATCATTTCCACCCTAACTTTGGAGCACTGGAAGTTCTATGGTATTGTTAGGTCATTTGACAGTATTATAAAACAGTGTTATTGAATAGAGATGCACGATATACACTGCCTGGCCCAAAAAAAAGTCAACACCAAAAAAAAGTCACACACTAATATTTCGTTGGACCGCCTTTAGCTTTGATTACGGCATGCATTTGCTGTGGCATTGTTTCGATAAGCTTCTGCAATGTCACAAGATTTATTTCCATCCAGTGTTGCATTCAATTTTCACCACGATCTGTATTGATGATGGGAGAGTCGGACCACTGCACAAAGCCTTCTCCAGCACATCCCAAAGATTCTCAATGGGGTTAAGGTCTGGACTCTGTGGTGACCAATCCATGTGTGAAAATGATGTCTCATGCTCCCTCAACCATTCTTTCACAATTTGAGCCCGATGAATCCTGGCATTGTCATCTTGGAATATGCCCGTGCCATCAGGGAAGAAAAAAATCCATTGATGGAATAACCTGGTCATTCAGTATATTCAGGTAGTCAGCTGACCTCATTCTTTGCTGAACCTAGACCTGACCAACTGCWGCAACCCCAAATCATAGCACTGCCCCCACAGGCTTGTACAGCAGGTACTAGGCATGATGGTTGCATCACTTCATCTGCCTAAATCCAGGTGGTGACTTTTTTTTGGCCAGGCAGTGTATATCGGCTCGATATCGAATGCACAATACATATCGGCTCAATCATGGTATACATTATTATCTATTGATCGGTTGATGAAACTATAGCAGATGAAACATCCGATAAACACAGCTTGGCACTATACAAATAAAATTGAATTGAATTGAATTTCAGCAATGATGCGGCATACAAAACTAGCCATGATCAAATGCCAGGCACATAGGCAAATGATGACATCATATGAGGTAAAGATGCAGCAGACAAGGCAGCAACCTTACAGCCAAACGGCTGCTTTGAATCCGCCAGGGTTATTACAGCCAGACACTTCTCCCGAAGAAATAATCTTAATGAAGAAAAATGCAAGCCCAAGGGAACACAGCATCTGGCAGCAAAGGGGGGCGACAGTAGATTAGAAAGGATTGTGGAGGTCACATGAAGGCTTGTTGCACCTGTGTCATTTCCACATATTCTGATGTCTGATGCTCGCATTACTGAATACTGTGCAAGGGGGGAGGTGATAAGGAAAGTTTAAAAAAAAACAAGGGTATTGGTCACCACACTTGCACTGTTGAGGGGACGATAAACAGGAGGCACACCAAAGGGGGCCGCCGAATGTACTGTATCACTGACTCACCGGCCACTTTATTAGGTATACCCCATCCCAAAAGTGCTCTATTGGATTGAGATCTGGTGACTGTGGAGGCCATTGGAGTACAGTGAACCCATTGTCATGTTCAAGAAACCAGTTTGAGATGCTCCAACAGGCACAGGTGCCACGCCCCCTCCACCCTGCTCACCACCTTGACTTACTAATTTTCTGCGGGAAACACTGTACTAAGGGGCCCAAAGTGTGCCAAGACAATATCCCCCACACCATTACACTACCACCACCAGCCTGAACCGTTGATACAAGGCAGGATGGATCCATGCTTTCATGTTGTTTACACCAAATTCTGACCCTACCATCAACCAATGTTGCAGCTGAAATCGAGACTCATCAGACCGGGCAACGTTTTTCGAATCTTCTATTGTTCAATTTTGGAGAGCCTGTGTGAATTGTAGCCTCAGTTTCCTGTTCTTAGCTGACAGGAGTGGCACACGATGTGGTCTTCTGTTGCTGTAGACCATCTGCTTCAAGGTTCGACGTGTTGTGCGTTCAGAGAGGGTACTCTGCATACCTTGCTTGTAACAAATGGTTATTTGAGTGCCTTTTCTGGAACCACTCTGCCCATTCTCCTCTGACCTCAACAAGGCACTTTTATCCACACAACTGCCACTTAATGGATATTTTCTTTTTTTTGGACCATTCTCTGTAAACCCTAGAGATGGTTGTGTGTGAAAATCTCAGTAGATCAGAAGTTTTTGAAATACTCAGACCAGCCCGGCACCAAAAACCATGCCACGTTCAAAGTCACTTAAATCCCCTTTCTTCCACATTCTTATACACAGTTTGAACTTCAGCAAGTTGGCACACACGTCTAGATACCTAATTGCATTGAGTTGCTGCCATGTGATTGGCTGATTAGCTATTTGTGTTAACAAGCAATTGAACAGGTGTGCTTAATAAAGTGGCTGCTGAGTTTATAAATAAAAGGGTCACACAGCCACACAAATCAGATGATTCAATAACCTTGAATTCCGTTACTACCCTAAAACCCAATACTATAGCAACAACCTGGGACACCCTCAAAGTTAATAAACACTGATGTAGTCTTATACAATAAAGAAATGCTTTCTACCTCAGGACAGTAATTTATTTTAAAGATGCAAAAAGAAGTGGCATTAATAGGGCTGGATGATATGGAAAAAAATCTTATCATGATAATTTTTTATATCAGTCAATATCGATATATGTCACAATATACATTAAATCAGCGCCACTGCACTGATGTGCATTACTCTGCACAGGTCAATATGTGACTGCTTATTTTCTGATCACTCACATGTAGAACTGTTCTTAATAAAAACCTGCTTAATTCATATTTATGTTCCTGGATAAATGGGGAAAAAATTCTGAATGTGCTCATTTCCATCAAATTTGACACACAAACTGATGATAACCTTTATTTAATTATTAATAGAAGGTGTCGGATCTTGGATCCTGATCGACGCAGAAATGCTGCCTATGTGAACAACAGAGAGCCTCATTACAAAACAAAACACGGGATAATTATTGTTTCATGTAATCATGTGTATTACTTTGTTTTCATAATCATAGGAAGCCATAATCATAGGAAGCCATAATCATAACTATAATATAATAGTCATAATGAAAAATGGTCAGTTACAATATTGCGCTTCTTTAGTCTTGATGACGATTCAAAACGCTTTGCAGTACAGTTTTTTGCCCATTCACACACTCTCTTGCATCTATGTGCAGCACTTTCATCATCACATTAACCACACACTGTCAGGGGCAATTTGGGGATCAGTATCTTACTCAAGGACACGGGTATTGAATGCAGACCTGGATTGAGGACGACCCACATTATTTCCTCAGCCACAGCCGCACCATGGAATGGCATAATAAATAAGAATGGAAAAACAGTACTGCCACAAGACATGCAAGTAGGACTTTCTTACATCCTGATGACATTTATAATACTGTTGATGTGTTAAGAGGAACATACCGTGTATTTCCTCCACTGGCCAACTATCTGCTCCTCAGTACAGTCCTCAATCTTGCATCCCTCATCCAGGTCCTGGTTCAGCCCCTGCAACATCTGCCTGAGGAGGCCAATGTCCTCTCCAAGTTGCTGACAACCGGCCATGTAGTGACTGTAAGAGTCCAGGCTCAAGCGCAGGCCCTCCTCAGCCTCCCAGAGGCCCTGTCTCAGCCTTTGCCAGCCCAGCCTCAGCTCCTCAGCCTCTTCCACCACTACCTCCACACCTGCAGGAGAGGTGCTGCTCCTCACTGCCTCCGCAACACCCTCGATATGCTGAAGGGTCTTCTCCTCACTGGCCACACTGTCATCCAGAGCCTTGTTTTGGGGCAGATGTAGAACCATAACAAAATGTGAAATGGACAAAGAGTGTTAAAATATATTAATAGTTGGTTTCAAATCAAACCTTTTCTGTAATTTTAAAGGACTTTGCACAATAGACGCATAATTATCATGCCAATACTTCATTATTACAGTACAAACCTGTATTCAATCAAAAGAAGCATTCACATCAGCAACAGAATTTGTATCCAATAGAGTGGTATTTGTGGCTTTTATTTTTTTGGACCAAGATTTTTTTCAAGTTTTCTCTTCAGACACATTTTAACATCAGATTGTCTGTAGCTGACATCATATTTTTAAGCGGTAGTATTAGCATTAGAAGAAGAAAACTTCCTCCTGTATCCAGCCAGACATAAACATAGATGTTGATGTTGATTCCATCTTTCTATCATTTATTCATGGACATTAACTTCTGGATTATTTACTATTATGTGCCATTTATTTATATCACAATTGATATGCAAATGCTTAAAACATAAATCACAATAATAATAATAATACCATTATTTAAAAAAAAATAAAGATCAACCTGCAAATGTTTCAAATTAAAAGTATCAGACCACTGGAAACTGGAATTTTGTAAATGTAACTATTTTCAGAGGCAGTAGTAACATTAATTTGCACTATATTGAGAAGGCTTTTAAAAATTAAGATTTTGCAAATTGGGTAATCCTTGTAAGTAAACACTGATAAAATAGATTCAATGTTTTATGTTGAATATCGTCCTTTATTTGTTTCCTCTTTTGACATTAACTATTCCTATTTTGAGGTAAATACTTGCTTCATTTATTTTCTCCATCCATTTAACCTCTTGATGATGGTTTGCTGCATATTATCTTTTACATAAATTAGAATTTATTTGTTCAAAATATATCATTCCCTTATTCTGCCTTTTCCACTGCAAAAAATAACAGGTAGGTTTAGAGAGGGTTAATATGGTGATATCAACAGCAGCTTTTTAATTGCATTTCTGTAACTCTTACTTTTAAGGCTTTGAGCTTAATCTCAGCTGTGTTCTCGCTGTCCATCAGATCAGTTAACTCCTTGGTTTTTAACAGCAGCCACGACTGGAACCCCTGAACGCAGCCTTGGTATATCTGATGATCCTCGGCTATCTTCTGAAGCAGCAACAGACGCTCCTAGCATAGCAGGAGACACATCATGGTATTTTTTAGTACATGTATCAAACTTAACACTTTGGTATGTGAGTAATAGACTTGTGTGAATATACATTTGTACTCCCTGTGAGACTGTTTATTATTTCAAGTACATTTTGACATTTAAAACAAAAAGACAGCATTATTTAAGTCACAATTAGCATTTAGACTGTCAAAGTACCACTTGTGCAAATCATGAGCCAAAATTACAGATTTAATTCAAAATGGTGGACTACCTTTTGGGTAAGGTTATGGCTCCAGTTTATTTTGTAGGCCTTGGGCTGTTACACAAGCCTACCAAATTTTTGACTACAGCTGAGCGATATGACCTAAAATAAATAGCATGACTTCTGGGTTTGCTGAAGGAGTAGTCAGATGCATATGAAAATGTGCTCCCAGATTAATTGCAATTTACCCACCAAATAACTTGAAAAGTGCAACTTCTATCAGTAAAGAGGTACATGAGTGGGAGAAGAAATACTAAAGGCTGGGGAAAAGGAGGAACAATGTCAAGACCTCAGAAAAAGAGTCTGTTGCAAAAGCTAGAAACACTGAACCTGATCTAGCTAGCACACACAGTGACCCAGCTGAAAGCCAGAGGACCCCCAGGACAAGCACTAATCCCCAAAATGTAATTAATTGCAATTAAATATAGAAGAAACAATATTTGCATCTTTGGAGAGGCGGGGGGAACAGAGGGCAACTCACAGTTGCACAGTTTCTTGAGAAAGCGAATTGGCACTGCCACAGGACTTGGATTAAAAACAGTACAGCAGGCTCATCCCTCCTTGGTGAAACAACCCAGACCCAAAGCCCCTAATAGGCTTATTATGATAAACTTCCAGGAGTTCACAACCAATGAGACTGTAATGAGAGAAGCTTGGAAAAAGCTAAAATCCAGCTCAGCACCAGATCTATATATTTTGACCATGATTATGTGACTGAGATAGTTAAGAAGCACAGAGAATGCAGTGAGATTAAGACAGCTCTAAAGAAAAAGGGGATTAGTTTCCAAACTTCATACACAAATATGTGGATCCACTGAAATACGATGTCCGATTATTAACACTTCTCTGTCAATTGGCTGTTTCCTTAACTCTAAGGAGGGAAGAGTGAACCCTCTCGTCAAGAAACCCACCCTCAACCTGAAGTTAACAACTACAGACCTGTCTCTCTTCTTACTTTTCTCTGGTTTCAAGTCTGGTTTCAAGGCAGTCCACTGAAGTTGTTGAGGAATTTTTGTATATCCTCACACATTACTGTATATGCCACTATATACTGTATTATGTATAGTGTATATTACATTATATCTGTACACCATTAAGAGAAGAGTGCCTGGCTAATTCCACAGACCCTTCTCTCTCTAAGCAGTACCCAAGGTCAGATTATAGATAAAGGACCAACCATCAGTGATTATAGTGTCTTAGGGACTTTCATATCTAACTGAGATGCCCCAGACAGAGAGGCACCAACTTCAACTCTTTTGCGTATTACATCAGTGGTAAGATGTAAGGACACAATGTGGTTTAGGAATGCAGATTTAGACTTTATTATCCAATAGAACCAAAACACCTACATGTAACATAGAGAGCGACAGCAATTCTAGCCATTCATTGATGTGCTGTTAGAATGGTTGATGCAAGCGGAGGAAGATATATGGGGATGCTGTGGGAGATATCTTCAGATTTGGGGGTGACAATTGCTCATGTTACTCTGTGAGCGTTTGTATATTGTCATGTAGTAATGAGTAATGCTATATATCAATATAAATCGTAACATGACCCAGTATTGAGATATGCATTGTAGTGTGAGGTCCATGCCAATACACCACTCTACTATCCAGTGGGAACAAAGTAGTGCACTGGTATTTGGCATGAGCCTGACCATTGACTGATCACTAACAGATCAATAACATTGTAAAGAATTCATAATGTGATGCCACTTTAAACAAGTAATGAACAACTCAAAACCTTAGACCAAACTTAACTTTTTAGCTCACTTAATCAAAAAATTTAATATATAGGGTTTTCTGCAAATCAACTTGAACTTAATTTATTACATAATCAAATGTATCAAAAACTCTCTTTAACTTATATTAAGTGAGATATGGCCAGTCACAGAGGTCCCACACAACGTTCAAACTTCGTTAGCCTATATCGTCCTTAATTAGGGCCCAAGCGCTATGAAGCAGCGAAGGCCCTATTGTAATTGAAGCAGTTATTAGGGCCAGAGCGTTGTGAAGCCTCCTAGAGATTTAATGATAATGCCTTCAAACTTGGTCAGGTTACTCTTCAGCCATGGGGGATACAAAGTTAGAATTAACTTTCCCAAGGTCTGAAGGCTGTGGGCGTGGCGACGCCTCAAACTTTGACGACTGTCCACTGCTCGCCAAACCTCATATGTATGTAAATCTATCGTGTGTGGGCGGAGCAAAATGGCTCTGAAGCACCCCCTACAAATCTTCAGAACCCCGTTGTCATTGGGGTTAGTTTTGCGTATGTGGATGAAATTCGGTACACGCCTTCGTCATGCCCAGACGCACAAAATAGCCTCTTGACGTCATGGCGCCAGAAATATGCCTAACATTTTTACATTTATTTCACCTTTTGCATGTGCTGTAGCTGACTGTTGCTTGCCCTTAGCCGAGGAAGCACAAAAATCAAATGGCCACGATAATGTACAATGAAGTTTACAGAACAGGGATCGCATTGTGTAAATATGTTCAACTAAAGGCACTTGTGAAGATTGCAGGTGAGTCTGACCATATTAATCTGTGCCTTACCTCAGCTCTTTCTTGGACGTCTTTGTAAGCCTCTTGCAGCCTCTTCTGGGTTTGGGGCTCCACACTGTGGTCCTGGGTTCTGTTGTGCAGCGCTGCAGCCTCGTTTAACAGCCTCTCCAACAGCACAGCCTGTCCATGAATGTCGCTTACTATCACTCTTTGCTGATCCACCTGCCAAAGCTTCTCCTTCAACCCCAGCTGCTGCTCCACTCCAGCAGTCAAGATGCGCTGCTGCCTCGTCAGCCAAAGCTCAAACTCCTCGTAAGCCTTCAGGTACTCACTCCAGTGAAGCCACACCCACTCAATTCGACTGCATTTTAGGTTTAATATGTTAGTGACTCATTACTTGCTCAGCAAAAAATGAATTATTTGTCATACAACAAAAATTGTCACACCACAAATATTGTGCAGAACAATAAACATATACAACAATATACAACGCAATATATGCATCACAAAAGATGACAAAAAACTGCAATAAATGCATTCACACTCTGCATCTAAATATATTTGGATAATCAGATGAAGCACTTCTGCTTTAGATAATAAATTAAAGACATTCAGATCATTGTCTGGTTTTTCCGTCAGTGAATCATTGTTGTTACAAAAGAAAAAGGAGAGAATAGAGAGAAAATAGAGAATTTGTATATAGAGATCTGACACAGCGAGGCGGCGGAGTTAAAGGTCCAGTGTGTTGGGAGGGGGTCCTCTCTACGGAGGCCGCCATTTATTTTTTCAATAGTCCAGACTGGACAAACTAAATACCTTTTGAGTATTTATGACAACTGAAGGCTACCACAGGTTCTCTTTCATGTTTGGAAGGGTAGGGTGAGGTGAGGGGTGTTCAGCTACAAGATGCAAATTCACCTCTATATATCACTAAATTCTACACATTGCCCCTTTCAGATTTTTTTCTTCAAAAGTTTGAAATGCATTTAATTCATTAAAACTTAGCGCAGCGACTTGTCTCCCCGGGCGCCTTCATGGCTGCCCACTGTTCCGTGTGTGGTCACTGTGTGGATTGTGTTCCGTGTGTACTCCGTTCACACGGATGGGTTAAATACAGAGGTCAAATTTCCCCATGTTTGCATGTTGCATGCTGTGTGTTGGACCAAAAATAGGAATCTTAATCTTTAGATTGATTGGTTAATGCTGTATTAGCATTTGGCTTTTTCTTTGATATATGGAACAATTTCTGAAGACACAGATCCAAAACAATTATATCATACCACAATATGTTCACCAGAATTGACCTTAATGAATCTGAAGTGGGTAAAACAGCACCTGTGACAATGGATGATGTAGGTGGCGGTCTCCTCCCACAGGCTTTTCAGATCTTTGAGTTTAGCGAGGGTGTGGCTCCTCAGTTCTTCATCTCCGTTCCCCAAAAGTTTCTCTGCTACAACCAATGCCATGTCCATCTTTACACGACCTTCATGCTCTGACTGATGGATTTTCTACACATTCAGAGGGTCACAGAAATATCTTTTTAGAAAAAATGTTTTAACTCCGTCCTTAACTAAGGATTAGGAAAGAAAAACAAAACGTAACAGGGAAATTACGCAGAAACCTCAGGTGAGGGATCCATCTGGGGACAGACATGAGTGCAATAAATGTTGCATGTAACAGGGCACATCAACAAAATCACAATATTTCAAACATTCATTAGAAAATACAGTGTCTATCATTAATGGAGACATAAAAATATTTGCAGCATTTATGCCCCATACCTGGCAACCTACAATGTACTGTGGGTTCTATTTTTTTTTTTTATCATAGGCAGCATTATTGTTTTCCACAATTGGCACTACAGTAGCTCTTCTATGGGATTTTACCACACGGGCCAGCCTCAGGCACCTATAACCCTGTTGCAGGTTCACTGATTGTCCTTCTCTGCACCACTTTTGTTATGTAACAATCACTGTATAGTGGGAACATTTCACAAAAGCAGAAGTGTTGGAGAGGCTCTCAACTAGATTTCTAGCCACCCCAGTTTAGTCTGTGTCACAGTTGCCCAGATCTTTAGACCTTCCTGCTTCCAAGACCTCAGCTTCAACCACTGACTGTTCATAATTTAGTTCGCCCCTTGACAGGAGCCAGATAATACATGTTTTCCCCTTTACCTGTCTGTGTTTTTTTATTTTGTGGCTGATCAGTGTATCTGTCTGTCTCCATAACGTCCTTCCTAGTCAATAATGGCGTTTCTGTTGTCTTCATATTTTAGAAGGCTGCCAGAATAGAACTGGCCAAACTAGTTTTTCACATTGCTCTCATGTTAAGTTATTTTAGAAGCAGAAGTTTTTGCACTTGCATGACAAACACTTGCATCATTTTAGCAAATTAAAGACGCCTATATTAAACCTTTTTAGGTAGAATCACTCATTTTAAAAAATATATTTGGACAAATTGCTCTGCATGTTTCAGAGCTATTATGCACTGTAAGCATTGTTCTGTAGATTGTAGCTTAATTTCCTTTTATATACAGAGTAACTATAATTATGTATTAAAGACCAAAGCACTTCACCGGTGGCAAAGGTGAGTCACATGCAAAATGGATTACAAGTAATTTGGGAATGGGAAAAGTAGGAAATGCATTATTCAGGAGATTAGTTTCCAGTTTGCAGGCCAATTTTGTGGGTGATTGATAGCGAAGCGCACCAGAAAGCAAGGAGACTAAAATACTACCAGCAGCCACGGCTAAAACATAATGAACCTTCTCTTGACTGGACACCATCTGCATTAGCTTCTCTTAATCCCTCTTTAAATAGCAACAAAGGATTAGGAAGGGATTTCCAAGACACAGAACCCTTGGAAGCTTCTTAATGTAAGGACTGAAACATGTATTGTTCCAAAATGATGGACTAATTATTTTTTTTTATCATGTGGGTGCGTTTTCCCCTGAAACCATTTGCCTTTTATGTAAATGAAGTTAAACTTGATGAAGTTGGTGTGGAATTTTGATCTGCAGTTTGAATCACTCCTCAATCCTTTTTTTTTTTTCAGCATTTGTCATTTACAATTTCCTGAGCCTGTCCTTCGAGTATCTGGGAGGAGAGAGCGCAATCATGTCCGAGATCCGAGGGAAGCCCATAGAGTGAGTGCTCTCATTTCAGTCCTGCATCCAGTCTGGGCATATTCAAGATTTGAAAGTAATGACAACTTCAGTAAAAATGGGGCAAATCATGGATCATATTTACACTCACAAAAGGCACAAGGTGCACATTGCTGCCCTTGAAGAAACATTTACTTTGAACACCACACAGTGAAAGTTCTGGTAATAAACAACTGTGGCATTAATCTGTGACAGTTATCCTTTATCTCAGAGCTTTTGATCTGCCTGGTTAGACTGTATTTTATGGCCCGCTCAGCCACAGGGCAGCAGCTCTTAGCTTCTTAAGACAGTGGAGACACTTGTACCAGTCCTGATAAATGATGGCATTGTTTAAATTCAGCCAGCGGAGACAAAGTGTAAATTACACATTTCCTATAGGATCTACACGGACAATGAATATTTTCTTTCATTCTGAATTTCCGGCAAATCACTGTCTCATCCCCAGAAATCGTTTCACACAAGGCATGTGGAAAACAAGGGTCATACTCATACTTGTCAATGCTCAAGTTTCCACCACTGTAATACATTTAATTAGCAACATGTGAGATGAATAAGATAACATAACTAGATATATTAGATTTCTATGCCCANTGTGTGTGTGTGTGTGTGTGTGTGTGTGTGTGTCTGCTCGTCTTTGTTCCTCTTCACAACCAAGCTGATAAACAGAAAGCAGACTCCAGCAGAGGCTTTCATGAGTAATTAATTTAACTTAATTTGCAATTTCATTCATTGGCAATCAGCTTTTTCTATTGTTATTATATCTGCCCTAAAAAATCTTCTGACCTCTACACAGAAATACTTAAACCATTCTGTATGAAAATCAACAATCATGCTAGATAAAAAAAATTCTGTTTGATGCAAACATTAAATCAAGCTCCTGACCATCTGCGTGGTTTTATCCAATCCACATTTTGGATAATGGCATAAAAAAGCCGGTGCACAATTTTTACTAAAAAGGGATTGAAGAGTGTATTTCATGTAGATTTTGGGGTGTCACTGTGGTCTTTGCTCTAAATTCTGAAGTACTAGAGAAGAAGCAAGGGTTAAGAAAGTTAGTAAAGTATCACACCTCTGTCTCCCTGAGTCTGGCCTCCAGGGCATCAAGGGGCCCCTGGGTGTTGTCATTGGTTTTAAGCCTCTCCTGGGTGGCCTGCATCCACAAGAGGGCCGCCTCCAGGCTCTCCATGAAATCTTCCTGCTCCTGCTGGGTCATGGTCAGTCCTAAACCTGACAAGCAAAGCTCCATTAGACTCAGTGGACATTTAATGTAAAAGCAGAACTTGAAATTTTGGGAGGAAACATTCACATTTTTAAAAGAAAGCTTATTTCTGGGAATATTACAAAAAGAATATACATTTTTAAATGACATGGGCATTTACAAGGTAGACATTGTAAGCAAGATGATACTGGTTGTATCGTGAGCAATGTATGATCCAGTGTAGGCCTGGGTGATATGGAAAAAAATCTTGTCGCAATCATTTTTTTCATATCAGTCGATATTAGGGCGTAACGGTACATGTATCCGGACTGAAAATTTCTGGTACAGACCTTTCGGTTCGGTAGGCACATGAACTTTGAAGACCCTCCCTCATTATTTAAGTCTATTTAAGTCTCCTCTGTGGGAGCATTTCAGTTTCACAGTAACTATAATGACGACGGACAAAGAAAAGTGGATCGTACAAAAGCCAACATTGCACAACTGCTATCGGACATGTAGCTGATAGCGCATCTAACATGCAGACTTATCTGAAACAGCTTCACCAGAGCGATGTTTACTAACATTGGAAATAACACTTACATAGGTGGGAAAAGGAAATGATGAGTTTCCTGCAAACTCAGGTCCCCTCAGCATTAAAGCTGCCGCTTGCAAATAATTCTGACCGTGCCAAAGCAATAACGAACGACCTAGCTGTTTTTATAGCAGCGGACATGCCACCATTCTCTGTTGTTAAGAACCCATTGTTAGTACCAGCAGGGCATCAAACCCTCTCTGCAAACAATGTGGACAAGTTCATTTTTTTGGATACAAAAAAAACGATAATCATACAATACTATTATGGTGCAATTTAAGCACAGTTAATTTTCTACATGCTGCACCTTAATGGATATTAACTTCACTTTTTTAGTTTTTATTTTGTTATTTTACTTTTGTAACTTGGGTAACAAAGTCTGGATTGAAATAAAAAAGGAAATAAAAAATCTGATTGTTTTCTGTTCCTCTTTTCTACTGTACCGAAAATATATCGAACCGTGACCTCAAAACAGAGGTTAGGGTTAGGATTTTTGTGTACCATTACACCACTAGTCGATATCGATAAATATCCCATTATAAATCAGATCAACGACACACACATTACTCCGCAGGTGAGCAAGAAGTTCTGCTCCTCTGATGTTTTCTATTCACTCACACATAGAACTGATTTTTATAAAAACCTGCTGAATTCATATTAATGTTCCTGGTAAATGGGGCATTGCTTCTTCTGCAACAATGAAGTTAAAACACAGCACTGCGTCATAATTTGCAGAAATAACTCTTATGTCGGCAGGAGTGAGAGTGAGAGTGTGTGTATGTGTATGTGTGTGTCTGTGTGTGCGCTCATCTTTGTCCCTCTTCACACAAAGATTTATAACCACATGTATTAAGTTATTAATCGATGATGTCGGATAATAACCCTGATGTCCTGACTGTGCACACCATGTTATGTCTCATGTTTTGTAACAGGTTTGAACATGTGTCTCATAAATTCTAGAGTGAATAAAAAAAACACATAGTAAACATCAGTACTGTTTGTGTTCTAATAACTTGTGATCAGTGATGGTGTTTATTGTTAAAGTGAGGACAGGTCAGAGGGGGAGTGAGGAGGAAGCAGACTCAGACAGGAGACTCTGACACAGGACCACAGGACCTTTAATGTGCATCTGTCCTGATCCTGAAGCAGCGGTGATGATAATTATTTAGCGGTGGAAAACCACTAAAACAATGAACATAGCAAAAACATGATTCGATTATGTTCAGTCACAAATTTCCACACCTCTATGCAGGAGCCCAAAGATTAGCACCTGTGCTGCTGCTACTCCTGTGCTCTGAGCTGTGAATTTGAAAAAGAAACTGCGCCAGCTTCAGTTGTCATAAAAACTGAAAAGGTGTTTAGTTTGTCCAGTCTGGACAAGAGTAAAAAAACATGGCGGCCTCCATAGAGAGGGTCCCCTTAATGTACATATAATGTATTTAAATATAGGGCCTTTTCTGGGGTAAAGAAAACTACAATTCATACAATTTAGATGAAACGAACTAGTGAAAACATCACAAGGATTAAATTGGACCTTTAGGATATGGAAATAACATTTCACTCACAAAACAATAACTCAAACTTTTGACACTTGAGCAAACCCAACAGACAGAGTAAGCCAAGAGTCTGCAGTAAAATGTAAGAGGGAGGGGTCCTGGCACAGCAGTAGCACAGAGAGGTACCACTGGAAGGAAACCATTTCACCAAATGACTCATTTCTTCCCACCACGACATTCCTCCCTTAGACTCTTGAAGAGACCTCTCTATAGTCTATGGAAGCCCTACACTTAAAAAATAAAGATCAAAATCAAATTGTTGTTGTTTTTTTTAAACTATCATTCACGTAACAACTTAATGCACAAGCAAACTACCAAGATTTGTTTTCTTCAGTGTTAATTGGTAATGGAGAATAAACAAGATGAACAATTTGAAAACTATATGAAAGGGTTAGTTTCAGAGTTTATTAGCACCAGAAAGATTACAATGATACTTGATAAGCATGTACTTCCTTTTTGACATGGCTCCACAATTTCCTTTTAACTTCAGTCATAGCAAACTCACAACATTGACGTTGTGTTTTCAGTTGTTTTGGTTATTAACTTGACTATTAAGTGTAACTGTAGCAGGACGTCGTCTTTACGAAGACATCGAAGCCCCTCTTTAGGTTAGACAGCTCGAGATTTACGTGTTAGTGTTATCATTTGTCTATTCCACTCACGCTTGCCACTGACGCTCGTATCATTTAGTTATTTTGATTGCTACCAATGCTAGCTACGGTTTCCCTGCTGCTTCGGACTTCAAGAACGTGCAGACCCAACTTCGAGTCCCATTCAGTCTGGTAAAAACGAGCTATGCGCTAAGCTAAATTAGAAGTTAAGATTCAACGTTTGGACAACATGGGTATCCCCGGCCACATAATACAATGAATCCTAATGGGGAAACAGTAGCTCTATGCAGCTCATTACATTACAGGACAATACTCGTGTGTACAGTAGAGCTCGTGTAAGCTGGGGAGGCTAAACAGAGTTATCCGAGTTTGTAGGCAGAGAGAGGCCTATTATCATAGTTAGCTGAGATACGATGCGGGTTCAAGAATCTATTTTCGCTTTGTAAAAGTAAAGACACTTACTGCGTTGTGTCTTTCAAGTGAGACGGCACTTTATGTGGGTACTGCCCTCCTGTATGTTATTTCGGCAGGCAGGAAGTAAAGCCGAGGCTGTCCGGGCCGTCCGGCTACAGTCAACGAGCCTTATATGGTGCCTTCAAGGACCTGTTGTAAACTACAACATCGCCTGAAAATACAGCAGAACTGTGGTATTCTAAAAGACCATTCTTAAAACTGATGCATGTTATTTCGAGGTTTCCTGAACAAATTAAAAACGAAAGTGCTGAAGGTAGAAAGTAGAATAGTAGAATGACGATATATATATATATATATATATATATATATATATATATGCTAGATATATTACTATAATAACAATAAGTATCATAATGAAATGTGATGTTGTATAGTATAATAACCATAAACCATAGTACGTGTTATGGAATTTTCATAGACGCCGTCTCTTGTCCTCTCTGGGGCAGAGTGCAACAGGCTGTTGTGTTTGGGAAGTGCGAGAGCGTGGCGAAGGTCAAAGCAGGCAATACTGTCTCCATAACTAGAAAATACATTTGATTGTTTAGGAACAAGCAGACCCATAGATTAAATGATCTGTTGGGGTTTACAGTGTGACTGCAGCAAAGCAGACTTCAGAAGATTGGCCAAGCGTCAATAAATATTTCAGCATAAGACATCAAAGGGCTCCTGAACGCTTTCTTCATTGATGAGGTGACCATTGATCAGCAGATTTTCCACAACAGTACGCACATGAATATGTATCACAAACAATTAGGCTACATGTCATATTTGAGCAGCAAATAATGTGACATTAAAATTGCAATGAATTCATTTTTAAGATGTCATTGTCCATGTTAATGTCAAGTAAAGTACCCTTTCTGTACAGTTTATACAGTCAGCTGTAATTTCCCTAATGTGACCGATTCATTATTTCTGTAAAATTAAACAAGAAAAGAAAAAATCCTGAAGAACATTCAGTGGATTTCTGTTACCAATGTCCTTGGGCATATTCTTGTCAAGAAAACTGATTACGCTACAGTTTTTGAGAAAATTCAAAGAAAATGCCAACTTTAATTGCACTGACACAGATTCATGATAGATTCTTATTAAATATTGAATAAAAATGAATCCTTGATAGGTGACATGAAACTTTATGTGCAATCCTTTTAAAATGTCCCAGTTTATGTCCTTGACAAGTTCCAACTGATTTAACTGTATGAATTTGAGAAGATTAACTGGGAATTCACCTCTAATTGCACTGTAACTAAAACACAACACGTGCTTATTAAATATTAAATAAATACAATCTTTAAGAGGTGACATGAAACTTTCACCAAATTTCTCTTAACAATGTGCTTGTCTTTGTCCATTACAACTTTCAGTTATTTTTAGTGCACTGTTTTTGAGAAAGGTAAAGGGAAATTCTGCTTTAATTGCACTAAGACCAATTAATAGCGTCTGGTTATTAATTTCTGTATAAAAAAACATTGAAGGGATTTCTGTGAACAATATTCCACATTTCAGGTCATTTTAATGCAATTTTAGAGAAATAATATCTTCTTATTAAATATTGAATAAAAAGGAATCCTTGATGGTTGACATGAATCTTTATATGCATTCCTCTTTGCACCATTTTTATCTATGTCAAGTTTCAAGGAATTTTGCTGTACAGAGAAAATTAAAGGAAAATTCAGCTCTATTTGCACCAAACTGAGGTTAAAAAAAAATATTTCTGCTTAATCTGCTTAACGATAAAAGACATCGTGCCAGCACAATCATCAGGACCAAGTTGAGTCGCATATGACTTGAATCTGTATTGTGTGCACGCGTTTTTCAGTGAACATACAGTACAAGTACTCAGTCACTGATGGAGCCCTTATAGCAATATGAGTGCTGCAAATTGCCTTGTGATGTTGGCCTGCTCTCCCACAGTGTAAGGGAACTTGATGTATCGACCACTCAATTTAATAATTCCATCCAAAACTGCAGGCATGATTACACTCAGGAAGGCTGTGATATCCCAGACCTATAGAATGTGACATAATTATATCATTCGCAGAAGGGGCTTTCAGACAGAAAGGAAAATATTATATAATTTTAATCACATTAAAATTGTCACAATTCTTCAATGGCTTTAATAGCACTTCATATCCTGTTTGCTTAAACTTGGCACTCCACAAAGCTATAGCGCACTAATGCTTCTCATCTCCTATCCAGATTTGAATGGTGAGAAGTTGGGTAAATGACCAGATGACTCCAGCCGAAACTTCTCTTGTTGTTAGGCACTGGACTGGTTGTAGTAGGTTTGTTTGCATACCAGAAGAAGGAAGGGTTTGTTCAGAGCACTTTGTTTTTCTCTCAAAGTCTGATACTTTGGGTTACACCTTCTGCAGTTTTTGTCTTTAAACCAACACTCGTTTGCATCATGTGAAGCTTTTCCACATCTGTAGCACTTTTGCCCCCTCCTTTTATCTCTGTTCATTGACATTTTGTATATGCCACTGTACACACTCTTTTTATTCAGCTCCAATGTATCTTTTGCAGCTGTCTCTATTGAAATAGCAATAGACAGTGCTCTCTCCAATGAGAGATCTTTCTCCGATAATAATCTTTTTTGTGTGCTTTGACAGTGCATGCCACACACCAGTCTATCACGAAGTGCATCGGAGAGTCCAGCTCCAAATTCACAGAACTGTGATAGTTTACGTTAGCCGTTCGCCATTCGCCTAGTTTAGTTCGGCTGGTCGCTATTCTCTCCCCTCCGCCGTAGCTCCACAGTCTCCACTAACTGTCAGTGCAGCCGGTGACCTTGAAATGTAATTGGGGTCGGTCCATTCTCGTCGCCAATTTGTTGTGTTTTTAACAACTACATAAGTAAATGAATTACAGAGACTGTGTCTTGGTTAAAACCATTTCTTTACTACATAACTGCCGGTTTAGAACAAGTACAATACTTATCCATACGCGCATGACAACATAGGCTGTGCTGTTGGGCACAGGGGGAGTATTAGTCTGCATAGGAAAGTAGGTCTGTACACTACATGCAGACCCTACTTTCTCCCACGGGAGTTTAGTGCTGTTTCCATCTTGGCTGTTTACATTCCACCACGAGCGGATCATGCGGCTGCGCTGGGGACGCTGTACGACGCCATCAGCAAACAGGAGGCTGCAAACCCAGATGCTGTGCTCATCGTTGCTGGAGACTTCAATCACTGTAACCTGAAGGATGCCCTCCCTAAATACCACCGGTATGTGAACTTTCCAATGAGGGATAACATTCTGGTACAGGTTTACAGCAACGTTAAGTACGCCTACAGAGCCGTGCCCCGACCACACTTTGGACAATCAGACCACGTCTCAGTGTTCCTCTACCCTGCCTACAGACAACATCTTCAGCAAGTGCAGGGCACACCGCTTGCTGTGACATGGGCAGAGGTTTGTTCCGATCTGAGGAGGATGAACCAACGAAAAGCAGCGGGACCGGATAACATCCCTGGTCGTGTGCTCAAGGCATGCTCATCAGAACTGGTGGATGTGTTTACTGCATGTCATTCCCCTCTCTCTGCCCCCTGCTTCCTGTCTCTCCTTCACTAAAAACTATCATTAAAGGCACAAAAGCCCGAAAAATATACTAAAGAAAAAAAATGATATCACAAGCAAATCAGTTGGTCAAACAGTGGCTAACTTAATATCAAAGAAGTTTCATGTTTGGATTGATTAGAGAACATTGAGATCAATTCAGATCAGCTGTTCTAATTTACAATTTAGTTACTAAAGGTAAATTTGTCCAGTGAAGACATTTTGAAATCCAAATCGAGAAGTCGGCAGGGGTGGGCAATGCTAACCCAATCAAAATGTTTTGTTTTTGGCGCTGCCTTCACGCGCTGTCGAAAAACCAAAACACTACACAAAGGACAACCAAGCCACAGTCTCCCAGTGTACAAAGTTTGTCCATTTAATAAAGCAAACTTAAAAATATATATTTTGAATGAATTACACCTGTACTATTGAAAAACAATGTTCAGTGTTGTGTTTAATTGCAGTATCGTCCATTCACAGCTACCTTACAGGAACTCATCACCTGTATGTGTGCTTCAGCCTAGGCCTAAAGAGTTCAGTGGCGCTAGTCTTTGCATGGCATGTTGTCAGCTCAACCCTACCCTGAGCCACATTACATATTTATTTAAAAACAATCAGCCAGAGTTCATTTTAATTTTTGATTTGGTTGTGTGTGGTTAATTTTATCTATGATTTATTTATTTAATATATTTTGATATTCTTATTTCTAATTCAAATGTTGGACTGTATATTCTTAAGAATTAAAAGTATATTGCTCTTTGCAAGGATTACTATCATTATGCTACAATGTTATCATTATATCAATGGTATGAAATGGTTTCAAAATGATGACAATATTATTTATCATAACAATATTACTGTATGAATCTAAAAGTTTTTAAATATCACAAATATTATTATATAAATAACATGTATGTTATCAGAATAATTTACAAGATTCTGACATTAAAAAGTGCTCACCGTAGTTGACGTTGTCACTTTAAGTTGTTCTGCAAGACGCAGAATCCCTGTCACCATCAACATCCTCTTTATCAGGGATGGGGGATGTGGGGGATGGAGCGCGTAATGGTGTGGGCTCTCAGAACCAACATCACTATCTGGGCTGCTGGCTAGCTATTAGCTTAAGGTCTCTGCTGAAATTTTTGTTTGGGTAGTTTGAATTTCATTAGAGGTCAAATTTAGTTCCATTTCTGAATGTGTTCGGTTAACTAGGAGGTCAGGTAAAGGGCAGTAATATTTTTCCCATGAAGACAAACAGAGACATGACCTGTAAGGTGGGAGATGCTTTCACTGTTCTAGGAAAAAAGGGCTTGCAGGGCACTATGTGATGTGCAACACAAGAGTTTTAGAAGTGGGTATATGCTATACTGATTTTAATAAAGTGGGTATACACAGTCTAGGGTGCACAAAACCATTGCATATAACTCTGATGCATTGTTTGATTTGCTGGAAATCATAGCCTTTACAAAATTGCATGTTGTCTCATGATGTTAGGATGGCCGTTTAGCGGCTGGACTTTAAAACAGGAGGATTGAGGCAGAGGTTGGGTGCAGACCAACCAGGTGTTTATTTCACCCACAAAGAAGACATAGTCACAGTCATACTTCTCCACACACATACTGTGGACCACCAGCAGCATGTGGTCCTGACAGCAGCAGCACCTACACTAATTGCCACATGGTATCTCCCAGAACCTTTAAGTTGGTTCTCCGATATGCCGGGGACATTTTTTTGCCCAAACACACTGGAGAGGAGACACAATAGAGGTGAGTGACCTGAAACATTACACATTATCTTATTGCACAATCAAGCAACAGTTAACCCTACTCAATCCATCATCTTTTTGATAAAGGTTACATCACAATGTGGATATGTTTGTCTTCACAGGTTCGGCCTTCAATCAATTATACTGAGAGGCAGCTACTGTCACAGTTCATCTCTGCCTCACCACTCTGCACCAGCCTGCTTCAATCTGCCAATCAGACACACCCCTCTCATCAAGCCAATCCCACTCACCTGTGCTCTCTGCTCTGCTCTGGCTGCATTTAAGCCCCAGCTCCACTCTCACTCATTGCCAGATTGTTCTCGATGCTTGCACCGACTCTCCAGCGTTTCTCTGCCTGATCTCCCGGTTTCGGCCCTGCTTATCTCCGACCATCCTGCCTGACCGATCTCCTGGTAATCAACTCAGCCTTCCGTCCTGGACCACGATCCTCGCCTGTCCCTTTCAGGATTCTGCCTGTCTGCTCCCGTGGCTATCCGGTGATTACCTGATTCTGCTCTGCATAGAGAGTGTCACTCTCGTCTCTTCTGTGGCATCCTGCAGTTCTGTGGCTCTAACAATAAAGTTTGTTACCAACGATACCCGCCTGTCTTTGTGCTGCTATTGGGTCCAAACCACACCCATTACAGCTACCATATCTACAAACATACAACCTTAATACATGCAACAATTTCAATAAAACATTCAACCCATAGTTTGTGCCTTACTTCTTTTACCCTTATTGTATACCAATTGTGTGACAAAATACTAGAAATGAGGAGAACCTTCATTACACATGACAATGCTGGAAAGCATCCTTGGGTCTCCGTCTTCTTTGACGGCTGAATGCCAGAAAGCCAGGGGAAATGTTGACGTTTGAAAGGTTGCTGTCATTGACACGCCAGGACTATTTGACACTAATTCCACCCAGGAGGAAGTATTGAAGAAGATCAAGATGTGCATTTCATTGTCTGCCCCTGGTCCTCATGCTTTCCTTGTGGTTCTTCAGCTTGGCAGGTTTACCCAGGAGGAGAAAGAAACCATTAAGATGATTCAGACCACTTTTGGTGAAGATGCTGACAAATACACAATGGTGTTGTTCACTCATGGAGAAAGGCTGAGGAAGCAAACCATAGAGGACTTTATTTCAGAGTGTGCCGACCTGCAAACCATCATCCAGAATTGTTACGGTCAATACCATGTCTTTAACAACGAAATCGAAGACCCTGTACAAACCTATGAACTCCTGGATAAAATTGACAAGATGATAATGGCTAACGGTGAAGGATACTACACCAATGAAATGTTTATGAGAGCAGAGAGAGAGCCATAGAGGAGGAGAAAGAGTGACTCCTAAAGGAAATGGAAGCGCAGCAGCAGAAAGTGTTGGATGAACTAAGAGCCTAATTGACTTCAACGGCCTACCAAGGGTAGGAGAGAATTGTGCATATGCGATATGAGCAGGAAGTCAGAGCTCAAGCCGAAAGAACAAATGATTTAATTATGGCTCAAGTGATAGACTACGGTGCTGCCATTGGAGGTCTGCTTGGAGTTATAGGAGGTTCACTTGGTGTGGTAATTGGAACAGCAGCTGGAGCAACAGTTGGGGCTTTATCAGTGAACGCCCCTCAGCATTGCCATGTGCAGTAAGGACAGTGGAACACAAAGCTAATGTTTTTTTGTCTGCTACTTAAACTCTCATAATCACTCTTTGTTAATTGAAAAAATTATATTTGAAATATCAGCTTGTATTGTGCTGTATCTTTAGCAGTTTCTTGACTGTACAATACTTGTGTTATTAAAATCATTTATGTACTCACCACAAATTAATGAGTCTTAATTCATAAATTATATATCATTATCACGACATTTATCTGGTAGACTGACTTCCAGATTAGCTGTACAGATGTTTACTAGTTTACAGTTGTATTGCCATCCATAAATAAAGTTAACAGGTGAACTTGTACCTTCGATTATATGCAGAGCTACGTTGTTAAATTAATGAATCTAAACATTGGCTCATCTCACCTAAGTTTTGTTGAGAGCCCTACCTTAAATGGGAACTCTGTCTGCAGGAATGTCTGTGTATTCTTGCAAAGATGTTTTGTACCTTCCTTCTGCTATTATTTATTCAGCCTCCTGGTGCAACCTTGGTTCCCACGTGTACAACAGAAGAGAAGAGGCAGCTCTGTCCTCTAGTACAAATTAGTGGTGGACTTTGGTAGCTTTCTTCTGACCGTATTCTCTGTACTAAATGATAAAATATTTCACATATCATGTCATGTCAGTTTAATATGTCAGTTAAAATGTATCAATTATCAGTGTACTATCACTGCCCCAAAATCCCCCAAAAGTGGGGCCCATGATGATGTTTTTGTCCCCCCAAGAAAGATTGCAAAAAAGCAATTCTCATACATGGACTCTACTTGGTGGTCCTGCCCAATGGCTTGGTTAGCATTTACCAAATGTCTGCATGTGAGGCATTTAGGATGGCATCTGTCAATTGGAGCTACAGAAAATAACTTGGCTTACACTTTCCCCCTCTGAACTTAATGCATATCAGAAACACACTGCAACACACACCATATTGCCAACCTGTTAGAAACACTGTAATTACTCTCTGGTTTCCTGCTCCATATTTACATACTGCCCCTCCTTTGTTGCGTGTGTGCATGGTGTTTGATTCCAGGAATTCCAGGCAATTGTTTTCTTCTTCTTGGACATTTCAATGCAAGAAAGCCGAGGGAGAAGTCAGAGGTCGAAAGGTTACTGTCATAGACACCCCAGGGCTACTTGAACTTAGATAAAGAAAAGGTATTAAAGAGAATCCAGACATGAATCTCTCTGGCTGCTCCTGGTCCTCATACCTTCCTGGTGGTTCTGAGGTTGGGCAGGTTCACCCAGGAGGAGAAGTACTTTTGGTGAGGAGGCTATTCAATATTTACTAGTATTGTTCACACATGGGGACAAACTGAAGAAACAAACTATTGAAAACTTAAAAAAGACTGGCGAACTCAGAGAGCTCATTGAGGTTTGCTATGGGCAATATCATGTCTTCAACAACCATGTTAACGACCAGGAACAGATTGATCAGCTCCTCGAAAAATTAACAGAATGACTTATGAGAATAATGGTGGGGATTACACCAGAAAGATGTTCAAAATGTTAAGCAAAAACAGCATCAAAGGTAGAGAAGATGAGACTTTTTAAAGGAGCTGAAATCAATGGAGCAGCAGAGGAGGAACGCTCTGAAGGCTGAAGTTGAGAAAGAAATGAATTTAATAGGAGAGTCAATGGAACCTAATAAATGTCTTCTGCAGAAGGAGATGGAGGTGTTCTGGGTATTCAGAGGCAGAGGAACTTGGCAAATGTGTGTGTGTGTAGATGTGTTTGCTCTTTAGGTTGTATCCAAAGACTCAAGGTTTTATCCCATAAACTTGCACTAATGTAAGGATGTTTTTATCAATGTCTGGCCAGGATTTCTTTTTTCTCAGGTTGTGGTAAGTGCATGTGTATTTATGTACAGACATCACTGAAAGAACTACATACCGCTATAGTCACATTCACCAATTCATAGGGAGCATCTACAAATTGCTTATGAAGTGCATCACATTCACACACTGCCAATTTGGACTTCAGTGCACATAAAGAACAAGGTTAAATCAAACATAAAACTTCAGTCTGTATTGTGAACATTTTTAGGTATAAAGCATAAAGAATTATGTAAAATTTGATTTGGGATTGTGTCTTGAGCTTTTCTATATCATGTGAAAATGTTGTTTCTTTTTCAGTTTTGTTGTATTTTATAATATGGCAATGTGTATGATCATTCTGCAAACCTACAGAATGAGTACAGTATGTGCACATTGTTTTATTGTTCATATATTTTGTGTAATAGATCAGTTACACAGTTTCAACTCAGGGAGTTTATCCTTCAGAGGCTGCATTTGAAGACTTATTGCATCACAGCAACACAGCTAGGCCAAAGGGTCTTTCAAACGTGGCCAAAAAAATGTACCTTTCCATTTTTTGAACAACAAAGGATCCAGTCAAAGGATCCATCTTGGCCCAAACTAATCCATGATTCATTGCATGCTGGTGATGAAACTACATAGTTAGCTATGAAGGTGACCATAGTGCAGGAAGGTTGAATGTAATAATGGGTGTTACATGCTGGTGATGCAAGTAGGAGATTGTCCCAAGACTAGGGCATCTCATTTTGGTTTGGCCATCTTGTAGAGTCCAGTAGACAGTCCAGGGGCCTCATTTATAACCGTACAGACAAAATGTTGCCTGAAACATTATAGATTGGGGACATCACAGCTGTCTCTGAATTTAACAGTCCTTTTAGTTTTGGTTGATTAAAATACGTATATGCGTTACAACAATATCATCTCACAGTCTGACAGTGTGAAGAGATTATTGTATTGCCTCCACCTTTGAATTACATTTTTTATTTCAGGCTCCGTTCTCTCTATCATACTCACTTTCACTCACTGCATTAACAGCAGCAGGGGAAGAGTATGAGTGTTTTTATTAATAACATCACTGCTGTCCCATTAAATCGCTATTCACCTTCACCTCAGTAACAAACACCTCAATGTCTGTGTTAGAAAGTTTTGCTTCCTCTTCTCATCACTTGACGTCATGATTCACTGTGGAACCCATTGGTCAGCAGCACAATTTCATATTCATTAGGGTGCTTTGAATTGACCATTTATGGTTGAATTTGGGCGTGTACAGAGCAGCATATGAGGCAGATCCAGGTATGAATGTTTTGTGCGCTCGTACACTTTTAATATGAATCCCACGCACTGTTATAAATGAGGCCGCAGATCCTTCAGAGTCCACTGTCCCCATTAACTGTAAACTGACCTCCTTACATGGACACTTAACCCGTAATCTATCCCCTGTACCTCTACCCCTTCTCCTCCTGTTTGCAATATGTGCAATGTTTAGTAAGCACACATTCTAGCCTTTATTTGTACACCTATATTTTCCACGATGTAAATAAATGTACTTTTTTGTTAATGCACCTCTGGTGTGTCTGAGTCCTGTACTGGTTGTACACATAGAGTCCCTTCTCTCTGAGCATAACAGTTTGCAATGCATAACCCTATTTACAAAAAGTCCAATAAGAGGACGTACAACACATTTTAAGAAAAGTTTCAAAGTGATTCTCTTTCATACTGAGCTGTTCACATTTCAATCAGCTATTACATTCTTCACTGACAAAAGCACTTAATGATGAGTAGAATATAATTTACTCTGGCCCCTTGCTCAACTTTTATTTTTATACAATTATTAATTTAATGGCTCATCTTTCTCTTCTTGTATATTCCCCATGTTATTATATTATTTCAACATGAAAAATCGTTTGTTTTGCCTTTATTTTCAATAGTATCTATTTTGTTGTTAATTCCTGTGAGTAACTGATGAATATGTTCCCTCTGTATAAACAATAAACATATTTTTTCAGGAAGTGTCATTTTGTTTTTCTGGAATTTGAGACAATCAGTATCCTCTGTTTTAAATAATGCCCAGTGGTAGTGGTAATAGTGGTAGTAAAGAAGATTATTTAGACTTTAGGCCGCTGTCTCTGCCAATGTGCCTCCTAAAGTGGTGAGGTGTAGTATTCGCCCCGCCCCTAGTCCCACAGGGTGTTGTTCTGAGAGCACGTGACCGCTGTGCCGTCATGTGACTTACACCGCGCGCACGTCGCCACCAGACGGACAGAGGCAGGATGGTCCACAGAGGTTCGGCTGTTGTTGTCCTCTCCCTCACTGTGTACCTGGGTCTTTGTCTTTCTTCGCACGCTTATATCCTAGACGATAAAGTAGGACTGGGGCGGGTGTTTGACGGAGTTGGAGGTCTGAGCGGCGGTGGGGTGAGTGCAGCCTGCTTTCCGTCCACTTCCTGGTACCTCAGGAAACTCAGCAGCTTGAATGTGCATGAAAGTAACGCTGAATCTCCGGCTTCCTCCAGGCGACGTCTCGGTTACTAGTTAATTACGCAGAGCCGTACCGCAGCCAGATCCTGGACTTCCTGTTCAAAGTAAGTTGTGGTTCCGGTCTGTCATAGAGCTGAGCTGAAGCAACGTTTAATCTCACGCCTTCTCTGTCTTCAGCCAAACTTTGGAGCTTCTCTGCACATACTGAAGGTGGAGATCGGAGGAGATGCTCAAACTACTGGTGAGTAACACAATTTTTCTACCTGACTGTCTCACACACGTCCCAAGATCTTGAGGTGACACCTTGGGATTAATCATTTTTAAATCATCAGATATCAAATTGACAGACCTGTAATTGAGTAAACTGGAGGTGGATACCTATGCCCCGCTGACAGTGGGCAAGTGAAAGGGGAATATCCTGGACAGGTCGTCAGCCCATCACAAGGTTGATTCATAGTGACAAACAACCATTTAACCTTGTTTTCACACCTACAGGTAATGTAGAGACCCCACACAAAAAGGCCCTCTAACCACTGCACGACCATGGTTCCCAGGAAATAACATATTTTGACAAATGGTCAGTTATTGTGAAAATTGCACTTCATGAATATTCTTTCTCTAGCTATCAATCAACTAACATTTAGTAGTAAATGTACTGGAGGCGCTGGATGTTGGGAGGCCAACAGTTTACCAGAGCTCTGAAACAGCAGCGTTTGGGAATCATCAATGTCAGTGATGTTGTTGATTTCTACAACAACACACAAATATGCCAACTTTGGTCAACCAAGTAGTCTTAAATGTGCTAAATAAATAAAATGGATGTTGACATTGACAACATCAACTGATTCTGGTTACTGTGTTAAGCTTCACTGAACTTGGAATACAAGTTCACAGCTCTTTGTGCAGCAGGGGTGGTGTGGATTCTTCCAGACATCCTCCAAGGGGCTGTATGTGTGAATGCGAATCAGTGATGTTCTATGGTCAACGTGAGAAGCTGTGGACTGCAGACTAATGGTGTGCACAGCTGTTGTGTTATCCTTAAAATATCAAATATGTCAGTCACAGATACTGTTCCCAGTTGGTGTAGCTGAAGAAACAACAACAGAAAAAACACAACTTGCCTCCATACTGCTCGTGTGGTGTCATCCAAGTGCAAACCCTAACATTCAAATTAGACTCCAAACAATGTCATTTACACCATGTGTCTGTATAAATGTCTTCTAGTAGCCTTCCTGTAGGCATGTTCGAGTATCCTTGGGAACCTCGGAACACCACACACACTCTCACTCAGGGTGTGCACGTTCATGTGGCTATATCCGCTAGCTTGACTAGTAGTGGACTTTTCGGCTTATAACATGGTTCTGCTATTAATGACTGGGTTGATATTGTTACCAGAATTACAATCTCTAAATGTACCTTCGTAGATCAATTCCCTCACTTATAGATTTGTTGCCATTAAAGTTACCACAGTTTAACATATCATCTTCCACCATCACCTATAATCTAGATGTTTCATTTATTCCATTGCATATTGATCATGCTTGTAAATATTCCCTTCCTCATAGTTATTGGTCAATAAATCTCATACTTTTGTATCTATTGTTGCATTTTGTGTTCTTTTGAAGTACAGAATGGAGATCCATTGAATCGAGAGTTCATGACAACAATTTGAGACTGACTATTACTATTTGCTCCAATAGGAGCTGGTGCCCCCTTTTTTTACAACAAGTAATGATGAGTAATGCTAAGATATCTTCCTATACTAATGCTCAAATACAGTTTACATCCTTGTGCAATCATACTGTGTCACTGCACTTTACTCAGGTACATTTCTTTACTAACAATATTTCCATTGTGAAAGGTGTATATTATATACATATTCTGTAATTCCTATTTTTATTCTATTGCCTTTTTTAATATCTTGTCTAGCTATCTGTTCTATCTCCTGCTGTAACAAGGGAAGTTACCTGGCATGGGATCATTAAAGTTTTGTTTTCTTGAGCTATGCAGTCGCATGATTTTACATTAAATTTGACTCTTACCATTTTCAGATGGAACAGAGCCGTCCCACATGCACTATGAAAATGATGAGAACTATTTCCGAGGCTACGAGTGGTGGCTCATGAAAGAAGCCAAGAAGAGGAACCCAAACATCACACTCATAGGTAAAAGAATGACACTGTCATTTTTTGTGGGTGCTCTGAACTTCAAACAAACTACTGATAGGTAAAAATTCAAAGGAAAGGTGGATCATATGAGAATGTGATACCAAGAAATTGATTATATGATCAAAACAAAATAACCCAATTTGGCTCAATGTACGAGCATAAATGTACACAAAGAAAGGCAGTTATGCAACTTTATCTATTCAATGCACAATATTCACATTAATATCAATTCATATTTACAATATTTAGCTTCTCAGTTCAACAATATGTTCAGCACACTGTTTTTGCATAGGCTTTGTATGGATTATGGCTCTATGACTATTGTCCTGTGCACTCAAATAAATACCAGTACTGTACAGTATGAAGCCATGCATCTTCCACTCATGCAAATATTTCACATAGATTTCATAGAAGGAAATGCAGGAGATAAACCAGCAGCTCCGCTTCCAGTGGTGGACAGCATGTGTGAACAACAGACAACTGACACACATCTGACCTGCAGCTCAACCGCAGACTGTGAGTCCATAGAGTTACAGAGATTGATGGGGAAGACTGTTGAGATCGACGGTTTGGCGACCCCTGCTCTAAATGGATATCAAGGCCATATAGGCTTGTTTGAAAACATCTGGCATTTCTAGTTTAACAAACCATAAGGAGCTATTCTTTCTTATATGACAGGACTTTTGAGACCTTAGTTTAACGCCTAACCCAACTTCTGCAAGTTCCTTCCTGCAGCATTGAGATCGTACAACCACAACTGCTCTCAGTAGACAACACGCACCAATTTTTGGTCTGCACTTTAAACTCGGGTTTCACTTTTTTAATATTCATTTCCCCCTGTTCAGTTAATGGCTAATGTGCAATCCGTTTTACTTTACATACTCTCACATTGTACATATTTTGTTTACATTGTATACATTATTTCAATTACATCCATATTTTTGTTTCTTTATATTTCCTTGCATTATAAGTATTGCTTATGTATATATTATATTGTTGACTTTAACTGTGGTCTTTGCTGCTGTAACACTGCAAATATCCTCGTTGTGGGACTCATAAAGAATTATTTCATCTTTATCATATCGTATCTTTATTTTTATAACAGCTGGAGACATTTTTCCCCATGATACTTTACATGTTGTATGTGTTGGTGTGTGTGTCTTGATGCAGGATTACCCTGGGCGTTTCCTGGTTGGGTTGGCCATGGCACAAACTGGCCCTATGTCTTCCCAGACATTACTGCAACATATGTGGTGAACTGGATCATCGGTGCCAAGCAGTACCATGACCTGGATATTCAGTATGTTGGGGTAGGTAGTAAGTTACTTAAAATCTCTTGGTCAAGTGACATGCTTTGTAGAATGAAACTGCCCTCTTATGGTGGCTGCACTTAAAACAAGTGTATGCAACTTTTTAACCGAAAAATAATACTAGTAATAATTATCAATGAAATATGTAACAAAGTGCTTTACAACAAACAGAGTAATAATAATAATAATAATAATAAAGGTACAGATAAAAGCCATAGACATCATAAGAGAAAAGCTTTTTTTTTTAATATGTGTTTTAAGAAGTGCGATAAAACAGGTAACAAATTCTGCTAGTCTAATCTCTTCTGGCATATTGTTTCAGAGTGAATGGGACCTCACTGCAAAGGCTCTGCTGTCTCCTTTGGTTTTCAGCCTAGACTTAAGAATGGCTAACAACTCCCTACTAGAGGATTTTAGACAGTGTCCTAGCTCGTAGGGAAATAAAAGTTCTGAAATAGGGAGGGTCCAAGCCCATTGCTGGCTTTAAAATCAATCCTAAAATCAATAGGCAGCCAGTGCACGGATGCTAAAATAGGGTTGATATGGTAACATTTTTGGGATTGTGTTAGAAGCCGAGCGGCAGCATTCTGGACTAAGTATGATAACTATATTATGGGTACAGTGATTTGTGATTGAGGGGTTGAGCTGTCGTCCTCTTACCAGAAGGTCGCCAGCTCGAATCACAGCCCATGCCGAAGTGTCCTTGGGCAAGATGCTGAACCCCTGCTAACCCTTAGCTTTCCAGAATCAGACCCAGCAAGGTCAAGAGTGATGCTGAACTGTAGTTCAGTTAAAAAGACATGGAAGTCATCAAAAGTGAGACATTTTCACCAATATTCAGCCAGGAAACTTTAAAGAAATGAAGAATTCTTAACACAGTTTGATATACGGATTAGATGGGCAAGGTTAGTTCAGACTGTGGAACCTGGGCTAGCTGAGCTCTGGTGAGTACAGCACATAGTTCTAGTTGGGGTATCGACAACTGTCAATCAGGAGCAATATCGTGACCTAGCCAAGATAATTGACATGTATATGCGTCCTTCAGGATGTTCTACTCTCAGGTAGGCTACAGAACCGTAAGCCCTTTCACAAGCGTCACAACAGAATGTGAACATCCATGGCTGAAGCATCGTTGTTAGCATCATTGGATACATAGAACCTGGGCAGGGTGATGTCCTGTAAGTGTAGAAGCTCACCTTCCCAGCCCTTCCATACTGGAAGGAGTTTAGTTGCAATAGGTTTGTCCCATTGTCTCCTTTTAGCCCACAGAGCCTGGTCAAGGATCATGGTGCATGTAGTGAAGGAAATTATTTACCCAAGTGGATCATGTTGTGTGGCATGCACTCTGTACACATTTGGCATGGTTGGCTGATGGGGTGACAAAGGTCCATGTTTATAGCCCAATGTGTCCTATGGGCAGTGCCAGCACAGACCAAGGGTTGACTCCCGGGGATCAGACCTTTCAGCGGTTAGCCATTGCTCACATATCACTGATCGTGCTTCAGCCGGGAGATGAGTGATTACCTCTGTCCTAGAGGCCCACTGTCCTATCTCAAATCTGCCCTTGGCCAGGACTGCTCTGTCAGTCCGGAAGATCCTTTGCCTGCTGTGGTGAACGGTGTGATTTCAGGCAGTTGTCAACATAAAATGAAGTGAGAACCGTCTCAAAAAGTTCTTCCTAGTTGTTGTGATGGTCCCTGATGTTACATTGGAGAGCATAGATGGCACAACAAGGGCTACATGATGTGCCAAAGGTTAGTACACACCACTCATATATGTCGGCGTTCTATTACGTTCCATATCACGCCAGAGGAAATGGAGGAGTGGTTGGTATTTGGGGAGGAGTCTGATTTGGTGAAACATACCTTGTAAGTCCCCACTGATTGGCGGTCTGCTGAAAGCGAAAGGAACAAATGAACGCCACTCTAGCCTTGCTATTGTAATGCACAATGTCATGAGGTATATAGAGTACCAAGACTCAGCAGAACTGTCTTCTTCCTCACTGATGATTTTCTCTGCATATCCTACTTCCTCTAGCTTCTGTATTTCCTGGTTGAAAACATCAGCCAGCTCAGAGTTGCTATAGCCCTGAGTAAGGGGATTACAGCAGCAGGTGATGTACGGAGCAGAGCTGTCAGTGTCTTCCGGAGGAGAGGGGTAGCATATCTTGATACTCCGTTTATGGTGACACGGTTGCCCTTTTCATCCAGCATGGAAAGAGTGAGGTGTGCAGAAGGACAAGTTAAGGCAGGAGGTCTCACTGGGAGGATGCTGAAGGAAGTTGGTGGGTCTTTGTGCTGCCCAGCCCAGTTGTGTGCATACTGCAACTGGTCCTCTGAGGGGTCCTGAACAGACTGGTTCTATTAGATGAGGATGATCAGATTCTATTAGCATGGGCTGCACTTGAAGGTGGGTAGGGAAATTCCCTTTAGATGGTTGTATTTCTTCATCAGTAACCCAAGTTGCTGTGCGGCAGTAGCCAGTATTATGGTTCGCTTAGACCCATTATCCAACACAGCATGAGTGTTAAATGTTTTCCTCCCATAGCAGAGCTGGGGGGGTACCACCTTAAGCATAACATGGCATTGAGGTAGTGATCCTGAGTAGTAGAGCAGTAGGGCTGTCAAAATTGCTCCAAAATGACGTTTGAATATTCGCTCTAAAAAAAACACATATATGGGGTGCCTGGTAGCGTAGTGGGTTGTACTGGCACCCCGTGTGTAGAGGCTACAGTCTTCGCTGCAGTGGGCCCCGGCTCGAATCCCGCATCGACTGGCCCTTCACTGCATGTCATTCCCCCCTCTCTGCTCCCTGCTTCCTGTCTCTCCTTCACTATACTGTCATTAAAAGCACAAAAGCCCAAAAATATATTTAAAACAAAAAAAAAACGCATATATTCAAATGGTTCGAATATATGTGGGGGTTTTTTGCGCAATGCGCATCATGTCAATAACAGCAGGACAAACTAATACAAGACATAACTACTTCTATAGATATTTTTATTTCAGTTTTAACATAAAACATATCTACACATTACAAAATAAGTAAATGAACTAACCGTAAAACTTAGACCGTAAAAAAAGACCGCTCCGTCGCTCGCCCCCCTCTCTCTCTATGCGCGATGAGCATACTGATTTAAATAAACAATCTGTTAATAACGGTCGGTAATAACCATAGACTATAAAGGTAATAACTGGTCTCTGTGGTTGACGTGAGCTGAAGGCAGTGAGAGTGTATGTTGAGAGCTGCCTGCTGAACAGAGGGTCGCAGGGAGAAGGATATAAAGTGGCCATGTTTCGGCTACAAAACCCCACCAAACCGATCCGAAACCAGCCCAAATTTTTATCCACTCGCCTGGAAACCCTGGTCGCGTCTCACTTTCAGCAGTGAGTCACGCTGTGCAAGTGCAACTCCTGTGGCCTGACCTGTCATGCAGTGCGCCCACTCGCAAAACAGCCGCTGATGTGTTTTTTTCGAATTTAGAATATTCGTTGACAGCAGTAGGGGCAGTAAGGTTTGAAACGTTATCTTCTCATCCCGGTGGGATAAGATGTCTTTGAGTCAGTATTGCGGGAGTCATTGGGTTGCTGAGGAGAGGCATGACTGCTGTGGATTCACTGTTCAAGTAAAGGGAGGCTGGTTTAACCTGCATTTTGTCTGATCTATTTTCTCTCTGCACAGTACGGATAGACTTTAGATTAGTTTGGTTTGACTCTAATGCCCGTTGGGAAACCTGGATCACTTGAGCCTTCCTATCCAGCCATTCCGCTAGGCCTGGCAGTGTGTAAGACTTGTCATTACCACTGCTGATAATGCCCTTTGTCAGACAATATTCAGCAAAGCTATCCCTGTAGCTACTTGGCATTTTGCCCCAATGTGGGAGCCACATCGTAACTCATACTGGGCAGGAACCTCCATGTGACTCAACATACCAACCAGTTTGTTAACTGCTGATGAGAGCTCCTGAAAGGCAGGCACATCTCCTGGTGTACGGTGTGGGGTCGTGTTTGCTACCTGACAGGCACTAGGCAACTTTAGGTGATCGAGTAGTATGATGATATTTATAATCTTCTGTTAAGCGCCTATGTGGACCAATCAAGCTATATAGGCCTCTTTTCAACATGATTAAGTCACTTTCCCTACCAGAACTGAATAGAGGGAGTTTGGGCTTTGGTATGCCATAGGATGCAGCGATGGTCATCCCCATCATGTGTAGTGTTGCAGAATTGTTGGAGGGGAAGCTGTCTCCTGTGAACTGAGGGTGATGGTAAGTAGGTGCATACTGTGGATAATATGCTCCTGTTTGAGGCCCAAAATGGTGCGGTGTTGATTGTGCCATATGGAGCTGACCAGTGTATGCCGTAAAATTAGACACTCCAGTCCATACAGGTGGATGCTGAGTTTACAGTGGGTTCAATCCCAACCCAGAATGGCTGAAGGCAGATGGTGCAAACCCTGGTGGCGGACCAGTTTGAGTAGCTCCTGGATTAGCATACTGAATGAATCGAATTGGTTGTGGTACTGACTGACTGCTGGTGGTGGTGCGGCTTGTACAGGCTGGACCAGTAGACATGCAGGCTGTACCAGTTGGGCTGTAGGCTGGACTAGTTGAGGCACAGGTGGGACCGGCTGAGCCCCAGGCTGGACAAGTTGAAGCGCAGGCTTGACAGGTTAATGGTTCTGTTCTTTCTGTCCCCCACTCTCCAGTCTGTACAGTGGGTGCATGTTTAAATGGAGGATCAATAATAAGTCGTCCAGGAAACATGGGACTTGATGAGTCTGGCTTGGGTGGGAATCAGCAGGAGGTTGTTCATCATCGTAGTTTGCAGAAACAGCCAGAGTGCATTTAACACAATCCAGCTTGAAGGATCACTTGTAACTGACAGTGTGGGTGACGGTATTCTGGCTGTGCACAACTGACAGAATTTTTCGGTTAGAGAAACAGGCACTTACATAAATGACATGAACTGGGGTACACACATTCTCATTCACTCAGTTCAAGACCTCCTGGATGAAGCTAATAGCATGCTAAGTATCACAAAAGCTTCTAAACAAAGTATAATATTGACAACCAGTGTCATAGTAAATAAAACATAACATCACGTATAAGTGATAATAACTTGCATTGTCACCGATGCACACTGTTCAAACAAGGATATTAACAACTTTGCAGAACGGACCTGCTAGGTGAGGGAGTTAACTACTCTCTAGGTAAGTTCGCTACTGAACATGAGCTGTGAGCATAAGGTCTCTGTAGCAGAACACAAGCGATGTAATGTGACATCAACTGTGCTCCAGCAGGGTGTTTATTGTTAAAGCGAGCGCACAGAGACTCTGACACAGGACGATCAGACCTTTTAATGAGTGTCTGTCTAATACTGAAGCAGTGCTGGTTATAATTATATTGGGACATTGCTAAAACAATGAACATAGTGGTAAACATGAATCAATTATGTTCAGTCATTGTCATGCTTGTCAGTGTAAATGCACTTGTACAACTGTGAGTATTGAAGTAAGTGAACAAGGGTGGGACAGCTGTGAACCATTAAACAACCTTTGAACTGCGGTTAAATCACTAGGGTTTAATTCCTGGTTGTGTTGTCTGATAACAAAGAGAAAGTAGTGCGTATCTCTGCCAGGCCCCTTTGAAGCCACATTTAACTAGATCCAGATTTTTTGAGGGGCATTTGCACCAAGTTGTACACACTTGTAGATATAAACCCCTTAAATATGACTACGGGTATTATGTCTAGACCTAGACAAGGAACATAATTGTCTGATCCAGATCAACACCAAAATACTACAAACCTCCTTTGTGGTAATCCTTCCTGTGCCCTCTCTCCATCAGCCATATGGCATTGTGTCCCTTGCAAAGGATCTGCTACTCAATCTAAAAAATGACATGAAGAAAACAAACCCACAGCTTGGTTAAAGAGGATACTTAGATGAACACTAACAACAAATGTAACTATAATAAACTATCTTGGTGTCAGTATTTCAGGTAAATGGAAATTAGGTTGTTATACAAAAAAACTTTAAGTTCAGTTACATTTAAACAGTTTTCCATAAAATTAAATACACCATTACTCTGTAATAATAATTTAATAATTATGTTGAGTAAATATTTGGTTTCAACAGCCAGTTGCGACAGAACTTGGACAAGTTTGTAGTGTAACTAAACTGTAACCTTCCTCTATTTAGATTTGGAATGAGCGAAGCTACGACAGCAAGTACATCAAGGTAATTCTGAACTCTTTCAATGTCCTTCCACTGATTTGACTAACAAATGTGCATTATGGGTAAACTTAGCTTCAGTGATGATAGAGAAAAACAGCCACCAACATCTAGCTGGGTTCCTCTGAGAGCATGTTTTTGCTGTCAAGGTGCTCCGGAACACTCTGGATAAAGTTGGTCTAACTGGCCTTGGCATCATTGCAGCAGATGGGAATTGGACCATCGCTAAATCTATGATCGCTGATCCACCCCTTAATGATTCTATTGAGGTGATTGGGTAAGTACAGTGGACTTGAAGTCCTGTGCAGGTTGGCATGAAATTACACGTTTAAAACACTTACTGCTCATTTGACCAAATAGTGCAGTGATTAGAATGTAAAGTCATTAATGAATTGCCTCCATGTGCTTTGAGATCACTAAGTTTGGTCATGCTGATTGTATTGCTCATCTGTCGACTCCTTCGTCTTTCACTATGAGCTGAATGTTTGTGGCTGTTATTCCTGTTGGACTGAAAGACAAAAGTTTAGTCATAGACTAAGTTGATGAGTTGCATATGTTCATGCTCTTATCTAGTACACTCACATTAGTATCAGTATTTTCCCTCTGAAGCATGGACCTCTGATTTTGATGTTGCAAATTGTATGGTATATTGCTGCTATCATGTAAAGTAAGAAAATCTTTTTTCTCAGATGGTTTATAAGCTGGACTACTCTTCTCCTTCATGTTAACATGGGATTACTGTAAACTGATCACAGTTAACAACTACACAATAATCAATAGGGCTGAGCAGAAAAAAATAATTACCATATTCATTTATTGTTTTTCCTGAAATATTTTATAGCTAAATCTACAATATCCATTTTTGCATCTCCACTTGTAATGTTGCACGACAGCTGTCGTTGATTTCCATGATTTTACATAACCGCTAATAAGAATTAGTTATTTCGTCATGCTCGTCGACTCTCTTCAACTATTACGTGAGAATGTGAGTACATAATAGGTCA